ACCAGATTTACAGGCTTTCGCTATGTAGGTTACGACAATATCCTTTCTGTGTCAAACAATAACAGCGACAGAATCGATTTTGCATGTGAAACTCGAGTCAATTCATATCCAAGTCCCCACCATCAATACAATTTGCAGCATCCGATTGACAACAAATGCGTGAGACATGAAAAAAATTGCAGTCACGAAGTCATATGGCGTGAACTGCTCTGTCCTCAAGGCACAAAAGAGTGCGAATGCCATCCTTATTTTGCTTATGATTCCTTATGGGAATCACGTTGCTCTCGAGATCGATTTGCATAGAAAATTGGAATAAATGTTTTTGTTGTCATGTAGCAAGGATGAATTAAATAGGGACTGTCAATCTGTCTTATGTACGGATTGGCGTTGTTGCTGGTGACTTTATTACGCAACGGAAAGAAATTCGCCCCCTCGCGGTCCCCCGCGTGCAGGAAACTCAATTTGAAAGCCAGACACGTTTACCGTGCAAGGAGCAGGCAGGAAAAATTGTGGCTATTAGCATTGTAACTTAATTTATTATAATTTTTCACTGGGTGCCAAGAGCCCACCCACTTCTTCAGATTTTCCGCATTGAGTCAACATGTGAAAATATAGAGCGGAAAGATTTTAAAAATATACACACTGCGTCCCACCGAAAGAAGGAGAAACCCACTCACAAGGAGCGCTTGCGGGTGTATTTATATACATTCCGGATGGTATTTGGCAGTGGTATTTAAAGCCATAATCAGACATCCTTCATATTGACAGAATAGATGCTACAGCATCGTATTAAATTTATCAGAGAAAATTGCTGTAGGAGCACCTCTTTTAATATGCCAAGCAAAGCGCCCGAATTTGCCGAATTGACGAAAATGAACCAATAAAGGGATTATGCCAGACTCCCTCAATATTTAATGTTGCCACCCCGTGAAAATTTGATAAACTTGTAATTTCCACCAACTCTCCGTGCAACTTGTCTCTCTCTTTCTCACCCAACCAAGGGAGAATAAAAGTGTGTGCAGATAAAAATAAATGACCAACACTTTCCATTTAATAAGATTCCACAAAAGAGCGGCAGGATAGGAGAAAAATTATAACATCAATCAAAGTTCATAGAAAGTTTCTCGAGGCTTCACTTCTATCCTTCATGCATGTCCTGCTATTTTGCATGCAGATCAGGATATTCCGCCTTGTCCTATAGTGTCGACCCGAGGAGAGGAAGTGTATTGGAATAAATCTGTCCCCTGCGTGGGCTGTAAAATCCTTTAAGTCTACCTTGTTGACTGTTTGCACATTCTAACTACCCCCATCGTGAATGCTGCGTGTAATAAGTTTATAATCTCATCATTATAACTATTATTCTGTGCAGGGTAATTCACCCAGTCTTGTGCCTCTCAATGGCACCAGCGTGCAAATGAGAGGCAAAAGTTTAATAATGTTTTCCACGGATTAGCTTCTCATTTACACGGAAATTGATATTGTATAGCTTATGTTAATGGTATTCCTTTGAAAATTCTAATATATTTATGACTACAGGTGAGAAAAAAATACACCCAAGACTTCATCTTTTCTTCGCAGAACTCCATCTGCCAGTGATGAAGTCAATAATAACTTGTGCACTAGAAAAATATCTGCACACCACGCATAAATCCCAGCAATTGAATCATTTATTCGGTCTGAGGGACTCGCAGGGGCACTTAATGGGTGTCAGTTTAAAATGATATACGAAAGTCGTTGAGGAAATTCGAGAAGTGGCCGTTCCCCTTTCCCACCATAACCATGTATAAGTACATAGCATTGCCGAGCTTGTCTTGTACTTAATGCCCATGGGGTGTCTATTAATAATATTCCGAGGGATTTGTAAATCGAATAAATTCCTCTCGTGTTACTCATCTTGATAATATTTAAATCGCGTAATAACATCTTCATTAGGACTTTTTATGAGATCCTTCCCAGTGACTTGTAATCATGCAAATTTCACTCATTCCCCGGAAAAGCCGAGACAATTTTTAATCAACTACACACAAAATCTGCATAAGATTCTTGAAAATCTCGCATTTACCACTAGAAACTTTCCATTTCTCCCCAAGTTACATTATAAAGTGGAAAAAGTTTTGAGGTTTAAGTTCAAATCACTCGTATCGTGCGCAAACATCTCTCGCCACAGAGCATTCTTTCTCCGATTCATGCTCTACATATGCGCCGGCATTCCATGGAATTGGAGGGTGAGTAGCAAGAGTACATAGGAAATATTTATTCAGAACATAATATCTCAAAAAAGCTCATGAGCAAATATGTGTGCTATGGAGGAATGAAGGAAAGTTGTGCACCCAATGCAAATAGCATGTACCAGACAAATCCTCAGAATCACTCGCAAACAAATTGTTATTGTAGTAGGATGGAAGTTGCGAAAACAGCCTGAAAACTTTTATCCTTCGTTTCATACACAGTTATTTTCAGCAAACATCAAAATCACCATTTCATTCTCATGTAGTAAATCCACTTCGTAAATTTTAATGTATATGTATCCACAAATATACACATCGCACACCACAGGGGGAAAATCTCACTTTCAATTTATTGGTATGCCATAAAAAAATGATGAAGAAACACCTCCATAGCTATGTTTTATGCTCAATTCTGAGTGGCGATATAAATGAGAGGGAGGGGAAGAAAATAAGAGAAACCACCCCAGTATATAACTCAAGCCCTCCAGTGTACAGATATACTATGCAATGTCATAGGTTTTCTCTTTTTTTTTTTGAAGAATCAAATTTGCAAATACTTTGTAACCATTCTAAATGAAAATATCTGGCGGGATGTTTCTCAGAATAGCAATATTTTCCTTCCTACAGAGTGTCAAAGTATCCTTAAGGGTAGCAAATGCGAGCGACTGGGACATTTTCTATGAATACTAATTAAGTTGAAATGGAGAAAAAGAAGTTGAGGGACTTTTTTCCCTCCCAGCGCCTCTGCGCACCACCACAAATAATAATACACAAGGTGCTGCGACAGAAGTGCCCATATTGGGTGCCATGCGAGTGTCTCTGACCCAAATTCCCACCCTTTTCAACAGGTGGCAACTTCAGCAGCGCCGCAAGACACTAATAATAAATAATACCCAGTTAAATTGAAAACATTTCCACGGGGAAGTTTTCAAGTACGTACAAATTTCCATTTCCTCACACCCCCATTCGATGATCGTCTTTCAGCGTGATGTGCTCGATTTCTTCCTTTTTTTCCACCATAGTCACACTTCCACAAGAACAATGCCTTTTATTTATGGACGAAAGAGAGTCACGGCAAAAGGGTGAAGGAAATTAAATGGACAGAATTTTGCGAAAGAGCGAGAAATTAATTTCGGCGATTAAATGAATTGTGTAGAATAATGATTGTACCATTGACCTAATATGCTGATATTTAGCTGCACAATTGTTATTTCTGATTAAAGCTTTAAAGTTCATCTTGCATTTTAATCTCGCTCTGCCCACAGGGAGTAATTATTTTCGTGGGTCGATTTCTGATGGAACAGTCAGCTTTTCATCAACATGCTGAACATGAAACATGTTAAAGCAAATATGTTGTACATAACTGTTGCAATCGTGACACATTCCTCGACTCAAAGGCAAATTATTTTCCTGCAAAAAGGGATATTTTTACACAGTCAACAAAGGTGACGCTAAAACTTCCAATCATTTTAGGCAATTTATAGCTTAAATTAGTTAATCGATATCTTTTGCCAAATCTGAGTAATATTTTAAATTTGAGATAGCATAAATACCGAAATTCTGTCTCTAATTATGTTCTCTTTCTCATTTATTCCAGTGTGCACAAACCACATAGAGAACCGGGACGACAATTGTAATATTCACATACAATTGCAGTTGGATCGATGCAATAATATAACTTTCATGTCATTTTATTGTAGTTGCGAACCTAACAAACAATTTTATTCAAACAAGCTTTCAAATACATCCACTCGAGCTTCCAGTGCTACCAGTGTGACCTTTTGACTCTTGAACTTTAACAATTAAATTTTAATTCTTGATTAATTGTCACTAGTGAACAAACAACTATTCAGTGTGTACTGTAATATAAAGCAATGTCCTAAACTCCCTGTAATTATCATCAGGGATTACAAACTGTGTTTCCGTCACCATAATCTATCACGATAATCCGATTGTGCTGGAATTCAATCACACAGGTAAATGGATATGTAGCAATTCAACCCCAATTCTGCGGAATTTACCATAACATAGCACAACACATCCATGGCGTAATTCCAAATGGAATGAGATTATAAATAAGACAGTGAAGATCACTGATTTTCCATTTCATCCCACATCCTATTAATCTCCCCGCGCCCATTTCGCGAGCCTCTACACCCGCCTAATGTACATAAACACCAACTGAAATTGTAATAATTCCGGAAAAAAATATTGAATTGTGGCCTCTGAGGCAGAGAGAGAACTGGCGGAGGCGCACTTTGGTGCGAAGGAGAGGCGAGAAAAAAGAGTCCAAGAGTGAGATTTCATGAGGGAGAAAGATGGAATCATTCACGTCACTGAATAGTAATTAAATCCTATATCTATCTATTCTTATATCATACACTTTTCCATACAATACGCACTTGCTGAGGGAATCGCCACCCACATCCCACATCGAAGATAAACTCCATAAAATTTCTCTCGCCATAATTCGTGCTTTTCAGTCGAAGCTCTCCGTTTTGTCGCGTCTATACAATCTCGAAAGCTACAAGTTGCCACGGTATTCCTCCCTCAGTTCCAAGCTGTTGCTTGCTGATAACATACCGCGTGCGAAAGTGGTCGTCGTGGCATTCGTGCTCAACTTATCCTACTGTTCTGTTCAGTCTTCCTCGCCCTGTGAAAGTGAAAAAAAATATCACTCCTCTGGAGCGACACGAGGGGATAAAAAGTTTGTTAGAAGAAATAATAGGAAATTATTGTTTTTCTCATCTATTCCTTCGCCCCCCACAAGTTCATTACATTCTCGTGTGCTGGTGGTGTTTTTTTTTGTTTCTTTCGACAAACAGTGTGAATTGTGAATCAAGCCGAAATAGACAGTGGCACGATGTAAGTACACTATCTAGTATTTACTCTATGACTTGTGGGACTTTTGGATGAGAATTAAAAAATGAAACTGCTCTTTTGTCTGCACATTGACGAGAAAAAATCAATATTCTTGTGCGTATCACATGTGAATTTCCCGCTCAAGTGAAATTGTGTGAGGAAAATAAATATTTATGCAAGTTACTCATGTTGCATGTAACATTGAGTGAGATTTGGGTTTTGTCATGAACTCTCAACAGAAATTGTATTTATTGGCAAATATATTCCCAAGCGTTCTCTCTCACTCTTTCACCATATCCACGTCGATAAGGCTTAAATCATACTCTATGCCGATCAACAGGTGATTCAAACATGCTGTTTCCACATTCAAACCCACACTCGCAAGCCACCCTCCGCCACTCAGAACATTTGCATTAACCGGGCACAAGCATGAAATATTTCGCTGCCCTCCGTCGCACCGCCTCGTCGGCGAATCACTACACTTTTCCTCGTGATAAGAAAACCTCTATTCGTGCATACTTGTAGTGAGGCAGCGAAATCAATCGACAACTCTTGCCCACAGTGCTCTCGACCTTCCTATGGCTTCTCTCCACTCTCTAATGTTATTCATGCAGTGTTTGTCGCCCATAAGCCGAGGGGCGACCAGATAAGGAGGGGGGTGTGCGATGGCGAGCACTGTTTTTTCCCTCCGCTGGTCCTCTCTGATAGAGGAAACATTTATCGATGACGCTAATACCATCGGATCGCCCACACAATCGACAGAGAGAAAAAGAAGCATTCTTCCACCATAGTATATTTCATCTTTTTGCCTCCGCATGAAAGAGAACCAGCCAAACAATGCTCCCAACGAGCCCTCAAAGTATCTGGTGCAAAATCCCCCCCCCCACACACACACAGGTGAGTGGGGAGCATTGTGAAGAGAACTGTGTCATAAATCATAGGTGAAGCATCCTTTCCACCTTGTGTGTTGTTCTAAATCAAAAACACCCCGACGATACACAACAAAATGGAATTGTTTGTGGGTGAAAAAGGGTGGAGATATTAATATATTTGAGGTGAGACAACGGTATGTGTGGTGAAGTTTAACAATTTATATGTTTTAATGTCTTGCACGACAGCATTTCCATAATTTCTCAATTAAATGTGGAATATTTTACTTTACACACGTCGTATACATTTAGCACACATTCCCTCTGCCGAAATTTTATCGCCCAAACCAATGTGTTTATGAATGACGACAAGGGCTCCTGAGCAAATAGACGAAGAAGTCACATCGGAAAGCTTCCTGCTTAAAAGGTCTCTCTAAAGATACAAATTAATTAGGAGTGAGAGAGTGAAATCATATTTCATTCATTTGTATCTCACAGCGATTTCAATGTTTCTTACAAATATACTATAACAAACAATGCGCTGATGAAAATATGCACAGACAGATATCAATTTTCCAGGAAAACTACAAAATGCTACCATGTAATATTAGATGCAAAACACCCCCTCAGAAATCCCACTGCCACCATCAGCCTCTGATAAATTCCGCTGTGCAAGCAGAATAAATTGTTGTGAGTGAAAATTGTGAATTCTTGATTTTCAATTCTTTAAATATTCAACATTTCCCTCTATTTCCACACATCGTGAACCTGAAAACCACTTGCCGACCGAGTGATAAGACGGTTTTATTAGTATTGAAATTACGAGCATTGCTTTGCTGGTACACATTAATGCAATGCGCCTAAATGTGAAGTGAAAAGTGGGAAAAAGAAGTGAAATTTTACCTCATAATAACAATGACCGTGAATAACACTAAATTACGATAACGCCTCACTTTTAGAATGCGCGTCGTTCGGAAAATAGAAAGAAAAACATGTATTTTTGCTGAGAAATCAGAGAAATTATGTAAATTTCACCTCCCGCATCAGCAGGTCTTCAGGGCGCTGCATCCAAGTTTTGTAATAATGAGAAAATTACATAACTGACTTTAAGGTGATTCTTTTAAAGTAAATCAAAAACTCCACACACACACACTCATGCACAGCAAAGTCTCAAAGCTGCGGTGAATCGCGATTGAGCACATGTTGCAAATTTATATGAGCCATTTCACCACATATAATATTGCGCTGTAAAATTTCTGGGATATCGCGAAAATTGTTGTTCCCGAATCGCAAAAGAGACATCTAATGTTTACCCACATTTATGTGAAATTTATTTAAGACATGCCACAGGTCTGTCTGAGGGAGTATAATTCCTGATAATCTGCTCAGCAGTTATAATGCCTGGTGGTAAATTCAGCCAAGGAAATTTGTACCGCCACAATCGTCCTCTTTTCACCTTCCTCTCACACCCTCGAAAGTGCTTAATTAACTTTTTTTCTTGTCGTGCTAGAATAACATTAGGAACAGTGTCCATATGACGGGAATTTTTAAGGTCTCTCCACAAAGCCAATACCTTTTTTAAGGGCTCGACCTTTACATTGCGCCCCGCGTAATAAGAGCTCGGCAGGTAGTTTCATAAAATAAAGCTTGTTTTGACTACATCAGAGCACCTGACAGTTTTATCTGTGATAATTGTGTGAAAAAGATGTAAATATGAATTGCTGAAAAGAAAATTGTGATTTACAATTGGGATTTTTATTCCATATTGCATTAGAAACTCGCATATTTCTCCCCGGGTGAATATAATTGCGTAAATCGAACAGAGGGTAGCATGTGCTTGTGAATAAATCGGGAAGTAATGAGTGTCATGTGGCCGAAGCCATTAATTCCGCATTTTATTGTTCACCCGAAGCACCTGCGAACCGTGGCCATATCAAATTCAATCTACTTCAAATTAGCACCACTTATATGCATTTCACACTCAGTCATTTAGTCACACAACATATTCAATTACAAAATCCATTTATAGAGGGACTGGAGAGTGGCATTGCATATCAGGGCGATCCTTGTTGTGCCACCTCTGCCACGGACTATCACGGCCGGGACTCCCAGAGAGCAAGAGTAAACAAAGCAATTACATTATCTACACCACTCTTAGGATTATGGTCCGTGTCTAAAGTAGTTGTTTGCTGGGTAATGAATGAAGGTATTGCCGCTCCATCCCCTTCCGCACTGTGCAACGCACCACAAACACCAGCATTCGGGCTACCCAATCGAATTACAAGTACATACAATGTGACATGTGCGAAGGGGTTGGGGAGGTGCGAATCCATTTTAAAAAATTAGTTCAAGCCTCAAATAGAATTACTGGCTAATTTCGTTATTTGCCCAAGAATTTCACTCCGCCAAAGAGAGCGACACGAAAACACTAACATCGAGTGGTGTATGGGTTGTTGAGATGGAGAAAGGATACGCCATCCACAGCATATCTTGCACTCACATATTGCGTGAAGAGCGACATTCCGCCCCGGAGGATGTGCCAGAGAGATTGGCTATAATAGACTAAATCCCCTCGATAGTGAATGGGATAAAAATGTGAAAAGAGATGCCACGACACATCTGGCTAATCTGTTGCTTTGGTTTCCTTGCAGCGCACAATTCCACCCCCAGCCACCCATCCCCCTCTAGCCCGCACACCCTCGAAAACACTCAAACACACCATTCAACATTTTTATACGACACACTCAGCATCCCACCCTTCTTCGCATCCACACAATTGGACGATGATCAAACGCACTGAACTGGGAGTCCATAATTTCCGCGGATGACGTCAACGCACTGGGCCATTCAATGTGCCTAGCACAACACAACCGCTCAGGAACTGAAAACTTTAGTGCCATTCAGACTAAATTACATATCTATGTTCGCGCTTTTCCTTAGCCTTTAGGGTTTTTCTTCCACGAAATCCTAGCATGATATGGAAACTTTTATCTTTCCCTAAAGCGGAACACAAATTTCACTATCAGATGAATGTGAGATTAATCAATTAACATTGCTGATTAGAGTTATAATGTACATCATTTGTCGATTTGTTTACTTGATCATCAAAAAGTACCTCAAGATTTTATAATTTTCCAACATGAGTTTATTGAAATAGTCCGTAAAAGCATTGAGAAATCCTGAAAAGCAGCTAATTTAGAATCTTATATTACTCACAAAGACGTCTTAATTACACCAAAACCAGACACCCAAAAATACCAAGAAAAAAGGCAAAGGAGGGAATTAAATGAGAATTAAGATTTCGCCTTGTAATACCATATAATCCTGCAGTAAAGTTATTTAGAAAAGTTGTAATGTCCCCTGACATTTTCTTTGACTTCCTACGGACAATAACAGTTAAGATATGCTTAGCTCCTAATAACACATTAAGCTCAATTTCACCTAAACCCCATTGCATAAATCCTGATTGCCCCTCGGCCAGCAAGAGTGGCCCATTCTGATTGGAAACCACCCGTTTTCTGCTGTTGTGCTGCGCGCGAAGCTCTCTCGCATGGCATTGATGTATACACACTCTGCTATATTTGCCTAGTTGGTATTATGTGCTCCGTCCGCCCTCTCGGCAATTGCCAGCTCGCGGGAAGGAGACAGTGAGAGAAAGTGAGTGAGATAAAGGGCCCACCCACTAAGAATCCTGGGGCATCGTCATCCTCTTGACGAATAAATGGGTCGAACATCAGCCGGTTGATTGCAAAATCTAACAGTTCGACACATAGGCGCCACTGTGTCGATTTACGCCTCGATATAATTCAAACGTTTTCTCACCCACACCCACTTCCTGATGCCACCCCTCGACCGCCCCGTGGCCCCACCAGCACATGGTGGGCATACAGCCCGGCTCCATCTCAAATCCAACATGTGCGCACTGTCGGCATTTCTTCACTCCCTTAATTGTTTCGATTGCTGTTAATCCCCAATGAGCTGGCATTAATGATGCTCCAGCGTGTCAGCCTCCTTTGTCCCCTGCAAAATTGGGGGTCGTGCCGACGGGCGGGCGGGGGGGGGTCCTAAAAATTATTGTGTATTAGTACAAATGATGACAATCCGCACGGAATTGTCTCACAAGTCTGACCATGCCATCAATCACATTCCCACTTGCCCGTCCACCCCATCACTGACGCCCCCTCTGCCCTCGTCTCGCTACCCACACCCCCTGTTTACCCAGCTCTGTCGCCCACTGTGGCGTTGAGGGTATTAAAACTTGCCGATGGGGTTGAGAGTGGAGCCCCGAGTGGGTCAGAGGCCAACACTTGTTGCTCGAATCAACTTGTTGCTTACACCCAGTCAACGCCTGGTGTGGGTGAGATTGAAGACAACTTTTCGCTTTAGATGCTGCCTATAGCGGAATTTTCGTCTCCTTCGCCCGTCTCTCTGAACACTGCGGAAAAAGTCCGGCTCGAGCACTCTGGCCGATTAAAGTGCTTCTCACTTGTGGCGTCATTCATTTTCCTCAGTGCAGGGAACGTATTATGTAGCATTGGGAGAAGAAATCTCCCCGAAAATCATTTATAATACCCAAAAGCTATACAAATTGTACGTTTTATATCTAAGCATGTGAATGTAATACACTTAAGTAATGATTTTGGCTCAGGAAATGCCGAGGACAAAAACGGTGTAGGGCTCGAGAAGTCATACACGTGACTGATGACGACGTTTGCGAAAGATAAACTCATCTAAATGGAGCTAAAGACACATCCTCACCCACCTTTCCTTGGCCCACACACACACACACTCACACAAGGCATCTGCGGCGTGGGGGTTTGGAGGTCTTGGCATGGAAAAAAGGAACGTGCCAGGCAAATGTATCGCAATCAATAATAAGAATAACATCTCGCACATTATTAGATGTCTGGCAAGGACTCAGAAAGCGAGGAAGAGGGAGTCAATTGCAGAGTGGAGAAGTGTGGTGGGGATCCTCTTGAGGGTCGCAAAGAGAGTGATGACTCCCAGAAGTTGGAGTATGAATTACCGTGAATGAATGAGGCTATTAATAAGTTGCTAAAGAGTGTTCAGATGGAAATCCCTATTTATAGGATGATTTATGGATTATCCAGTGGTACTCACTCAATTTCTTTCTGCTCGCCTTTGGCGTCTTCCAGAGACTTTCCAGCCATATCAGGCCCCATCATGCGCTCGAAAGCTCAGGAGGACGCCCAAGTGGGTCACCAACAGGAACAGACACCAGTGGCCACAAGCATCTTGCCTTCCGCGCCCGGGGGCGCCGACAGTGGCTTCTTTGACTTCACCGACGAGGAGGGTAGAGCTGTGCAGCAGCAGGCTGAGACAGAGGAACACATTAGACCGCGTCGCACATCGAAAAAGCTCCAGTCGCTCAATGTGAGATTCCCCAGTTCCCTCCGCATTCCCAAACGCTGGCGTGTGTAATGATAAATTCCTATGTAGACCATGTACGACATGACTGATTCGAGCTCACAGAGCGACGACACGACAAGTGGCACAGGAGATGGTGGCTTTGGGTGTGACGGTGGAAGCGGCGGGGGCGCTCGGAGGCGAGGCAACTCCCGCAGAAGTGGCAGCCAAGTGGCGGTGAGGCGGCGAAAGGGTGTCCTCAATGCCAAGGAGCGGAATCTCAGACGCTTGGAATCCAATGAGAGAGAGCGGAAACGAATGCACGATCTCAATAATCAATTTCAGGTACAAGACAAGGATTTTTCTACAATCTCGCACGGATGTTGTATAAATTCACTCAATGGATGTTGAGAGTACGCTTGTTTTGCCACTCTAAATATGAATGGGAAGTGCGTGAACGGGATTTTTTTCTGCTAGAAAATGATTTCTGCAATATTTTCGTGTCGTGGAGAATTTGTGTGTTCAGTTTTTGCTTTGATTTGAATCAATTTCTCTATTAGTCTTGTGTTATCTCCTACTTTCCTCTTGCTTCTTATTACCTCAATAATGCTCAATAGTCTTTATGGGTATTAAATGATAACTGCCAAGATTGAATTAGTGTAATCTACAAGAGATAAAACATCTCATTCCCAGTCCCTGCGCGAAGTGATTCCACACGTGAAGAAGGAGCGACGACTGTCCAAGATCGAGACGCTCACCCTGGCCAAAAACTACATAACAGCCCTGACAAATGTCATTCTGCAGATGCGCGGCGAGGGCGACGAGAAGTTAATTAACAACGACATTTGCCACTACTGTACCTGCAAGTGCGGCGGTCTGAGGACCCCACAGTCATTAGACGCCTCCACCACCGTGTCCCCGACCACGCTCAGCGACGACTGCAATACAATGGTCAAGAGCAAGGATGCCAATCAAAGACTCCAGATGGAATTCAAATTTGATGAGTCGAGCTTTTATTCCGACTCATTTCCGCTCCTATAAATCCCCAATGTGATTTCCCACCACCCACATTCCTGACATACATTGACTTTGACGGGGTATGAGCTTCAACACTATGTACTGTGAATATAGGAGGACAATTATATAGGACTTACATGCTAAGAAGGTATTTATTGAGTGTCTGCTCTTTTGTGTTATTTAATTACTACATTATATCTAGCAGAGAAGCTTTCACACTCTATGTATGGGCTATAATAGTGCATTTACATATATTTGCTTAAAATTTCCGTTTAGAATCAAACCCCCCCCTGAACCCCAAGCCGCCTCTCCTTTCAGCCCTTCAATGGCATGAAGCATGTGTAAATATTAATAGAGAGAGAGAAATACTTTAATGTGGAAGATGTAAATATATACATATAAAATTGAAAAGCTTGGCTATATTTATAAGAGAGTCTCAATAGATGGCATTTAACTAGTTTGTAAGGGAGGGAAAATGAAGAAAGTACCTATATACATATATTTGCTATGTACATTACTTAGAAGAAACTGCAGTCTTGATCAAAATGTTGAGTTTTTAAAGTTGTTGGCAATTGCAGAACATGTATAGAAGAATGAGGAAGCACTATAATATTTAACTTTTCCCGCGGAGGCATCGAGAAGAAGTTATAACGCAACGGAGATTGCTCAATTGAAATAAAATTAAATTGTCTAACAATTCTTTATGACATGAAATGTCGAGGAGGAATTGAATATTAATTTGCACTTGTTCACAATTCTGCTAAATGATTAATTATAAACGAAAAATTGTGCTAAATTGGTCTCTTATTTGATAAGAAGCTAGAGTTAAGACTGAAGTATGGTAGAAGATATAATGTAATTTGCTAACTAGGAAGGGATATTTTTGTCAATACATTGAGAAAACCCCAAAAAGTGATGTGGACATAGGAAGATAGAGTAACTCACCAACAATTCCAAAACAACTCTAAGGCCATTTCAGCTGGATAACAAAACTAACTGCATCTTCACTGAAAGAGACGAAGGGGGGAATATATGAAAATTTAGAGGAGTAATTGATTTTCCGCCCATTCCGAAAGTTATTCCAAGCAAGAAACTCACAAACTCATGCAAATTCGTCAACGTAAAAACCACAAGAGAGAAGTCATAATGTTCGGCATGCTCTGTGACTTTCGCTGTGCAATAAAACAATCAAAACACCACGCGAAGAGATATAATTTTCACGAAAAATGAATTATCACTGGAGTCAGGGCGCTTCATCCCACTTGTTCTCTCAATGGGGAGAAGAAAAAATATTGTTGAAAGCTTTAACGTAAAAGTCAATAACCTTATGTACGCTAGAGAGCATTACATATCCTCTCCAGACTTTTATTTACTCCAACCGACCAGAGCTCTCTTCCCCCTCCGCAACATGTGGGATGGCAAAAATTGCGTTGTGCTGCTGGCGAAATGGGCAAAAACAATCATTTCTCTATTACTCCATATTTCAATATCAAAATTCATTTACGTAGTTTCTCACTCTCATGCGGCCCATGTGGGAAATGTGCCCCGGCAATGGACGCCTTTTGTGCTCCGCATCTAATCCATTTGCACTCTCTCGCTCTCCTCTGGCTTTCACGCATTAAAACCCACGCCCAAGAGGACATTCCTCAAATTAAATCCACATCAAGCTGAGTTTCGTCCGGAAAACTAAAAAGATGCCTCACAAATACGTCCCGGCCACTCTCGCACAATTTCAGCTGGAGTGAGAATAGAGAAAACAGATGATACTGGTAAATTGCATTACGATGTCAGCATCTATCACAGCTAACAATTCCTTCTACAACTCCCTCAACACCTATACATATGGGCGAGGAGAGGAATTATTATATTGAATATAATATTGCTTTTTGCCTTCTCAACAGTTCCCTTATCGAATTATGGTCTCGAGGGTGAATAAGTTGATTCTGGTCGAATAGAAAAAAGCACACATACATCACAGAGATTGAGATACATATTATGAGCAGAATTGGGTCAGAAATGTTGTCGCACACCATTAATTCGCACAAGTGTGGTGCTCTCATGTGAAATGTGCGCAACAGCATTTCCAGCACACCTCTGTAAAATGGTCAGACGCAGAAAAAGTCCCATCTTGGGAATTGTACGAAGGCTGGAAATAGCATCAATTATTATTGTATAAATAAGTACAAATAATAGAGTCTGAATGTTGATAAATTGTAATTGTTAGTCACTTAAGTAGATCATTGAGAGTAATATATCAGAAGTATCACTAAAACTATACAGAAAAATAAGACAACATAAGCGCATTTTTTGATGCTTCACCAGAAATTCTGTACCATAGTCAACTTGACCATTGCGAAATATTCATTGTGAATTGTGAAGATTCTCTCTGTTACCAAGAAAAAGTCTAGCAACCAATCTTAAGTGTCCAAAATACTGCAACTGTATTTCAATTGAAAGAAACAAAGTGTATATAAATGTCTTGCCTCAAATAAATATGCGATCCCAGAGATGACACTTCACAGCTTCTTAAAATTTCATCAGCTTGCAGTCCAGCGTCGCCAAATTCACCACAACCACTGACTTTGACTTGCTGAATTTTGGCACACAAATCAATCGAACCTCCCTTCCATTCTCCTTCACCAATTCGCTCTTGTACTCTGGACAATTTCCGGCGAAATAAATGTGTGGACACTCATCGATGACGAAAGGATCCTTGCCCTGCAGAGGATAGGCGAATTTAGTGTCCGGACATGTGGGCACAATGTGTCCCCATCGGTAGGTGGCCTTCAGAGCCGAGAGACTGTCTGAGATCCGAGAGTATCGCAAGATGTCATCAACATTCTGCCCTGACATGCCCAAAATGCATCTTCCGCCAATTTCACACGCATACGGATTTGGAACGCTGCGGCAACTCATCAATTGGCTGCTCATGGGCAAGAGGAGTGGATGCAGTGGCGGCTGAGGCAGGAGGGATGACGTCGGATCGAACTCCCCGGGCATCAAGTCAACATGCACCGATCCACCCAAATCATGGAGGAATTGATCGAGAAACTTGATCCCATTAAGCTCTTCACTTGTCGCTTGCTGTTCCAAATCCACCGAATCCGCATGATTGTCCTCATTTCTCACTGAATTCCCAGCCACAATCACTCGAACGATCGACGAAGGATCGAAGCCTTTATCCTCAGGCATATTCCCATAGATCCAGTTCTGGAAGGCTTCCAGAGACAGGAAACGATCATCGGTGCGAGTCTGAAAGTGAAGAGATTATTAGCATCAAACATTAACCTTTCCCATTCAATTTCTCACCATATTCAGTCCCGATAAGAGAACCAGGAACGGGGAGTTGTCCAGCGATTTCAGCGGCTTCTGAGGGCCACATTCGTAGAAGAGAATCTCATCGACATGGAACCTTCCCTGCTCCAGAATGTGACCTGTATCGAAATAGCAAAGACTTGCGTGAGATTTTGCGTGAGTGCACAGGAAACGGTGCTCCCTCGGTATTAGATAATTAACACAAAAAGCATTGAGTGCATAAATGTCGGTGTGAGTGCAGTGGTTTAGTGCACTGTCTGGTATCGACTGGATTGTGGGTGTTTCGTGTAATGATGAAAGAGGCAACAGAAAAACACAGATTCTAAGCTACTCTTCACTTACTGCTGAAACCTTCAAGAATTCGAAAAGGGGATTCATTGGGCGCAAAGGCGGATTGAAATAGAATAATAAAAATTCATTAAAGCGTCATCCTTCCTGGGAAATCTTTACTGAATCTCAAGCAGATTCTGAGAGACTTCTTACCGAGCACAGCACACATTATTCCTGTCACCACCTCATGAGGGTTGATGTTCCCGAACAGACGCACCCTCTGCAGCTCATCCTCCAGCATCACCTCATCCGAGTCATCCGTGAAGTCGCAGGCGATGGGCTGAGGCACGATATTAGTGACTTTGGAGAGCTCCTTCAGGACACTCGGCTTCAGCGTCTGTTGCTTGTAAACCGTCCCAATAATAACGCACTTCTCTTGATCATCTTCGCTCAGATCATGGATCCTCCTGATGGGATACTGCTCGCCCCACTTGAGTGCCACCCGCTCCCGCAGGAGCCCCGACATCGCTTCACACCGAGCCACATAGAGGTTATGGAACTGCTGATTGTAATCCAACTGCTTCGGCAACAAAAACCTCTCAGATCTATTCACATACTCCACCGTCATTCTCTCCTCCTGTTCGCCATGGCCATTGGCGCCGTTCTGCTTCACAAAATTGGCCATTATCCCTGGAAAATCCTCACAGAAGCGCACTGAACAAATTCCCGCGGCACTTGTTTACCCCTTTCCGAAAGTCTTCCGACCATTTCCGGAGTTGCGCAATGTCGCCGCCATGATGATTCTGAGCCGGCTGGGAAATTCCGTACAGTTCGCAAGAGTGAATTTTTCGCATTTCCGCTACTTGAGTGCATTTAAGAGTATGGAGAAGCACGGAGTGGTTCCCGACGTCATTCCCGCAGCCCCCAAGGAGGTGCTCAAGGTGTCCTACCCCAGTGGAGTCGCGGTCAACGAGGGCAACGAATTGACTCCCACCCAAGTCAAGGATGTGCCCACTGTCACCTGGAGCCCCGAGGCTGGGGCGCTGTACACCCTCTGCATGACAGATCCCGACGCCCCCTCCAGGAAGGAGCCAACGTACCGCGAGTGGCATCACTGGCTGGTGGGAAACATCCCCGGCAGCGAAGTCGCCAAGGGTGAGACTCTATCGGCTTATGTGGGATCTGGGCCGCCGGAGGGAACCGGATTGCACCGCTATGTCTTCTTGCTGTACAAGCAAAACGGGACACTGTCCTTCACCGAGCCTCGACTCACCAACACCAGTGCTGACAACAGAGGCTGCTTCTCCATCCAGAAGTTCGCTGAAAAGTACAAGCTCGAGCTCGTGGCCGGCAATCTGTACCAGGCTCAGTGGGATGACTACGTGCCTCTGCTGTACAAGCAGCTCGGCGCCTAAGCGCCTATTCATATCCCAGATTACTTGGGAAAACACTGTATTTGAGCGGGTGTGGTGAATAAATACAATCCCCGGGTTAAAAATGCTTTCTGGACTACATCTTCAGGCCCTGCATGGAGCGCGTGAGCGCAGAAGTGCTCAAGTCCCAGATGACTAGCTGGCCATCGAGTCCTGAAGTGCTGATGCGCGTCACTGACGCCTTGGTGCCCCCGAAGATTCTCAGGCACGCAATTGCATTCTGATGAATCGACTCCAGGTTCGTGTCCGTGTTTTCTGTGCGCAAATTTCTGTCCAGCGACTGGAAAATGCGCATGGCGGAGATCCCTCCAGCCTCCTTCTTCTGCGTCTGATCCAGCTTCGCCGACAGAGCGATTTCATTGCCATCGCCAATGCTGTAGATGAGCGGCATGCAGCTGTGTCCTGCCACAACCACTGACTTCGGGGAAATCCACTCGCAGCAGAGGAAGGGAAGATACGGCGTGCGGATCTTCGTGATGAGCATCCCATTGGACGCATCAGCCACCTTAATGGCAGCATCGTGGCCTGTCCAGCAGACCTTGTTGCCATCTGCCGAGAAGCTGACGCTGTGCACCCATCCGCCACCGCGCTCGGAGTGCTTGAACTCCGCCATCAGATGGCCCAGGGGCATCTTGGCACCCCAGGGCGTGGGACTGGGTTGATCCTCAATGTCCTTGATGTAGGCCGAGAACACGCGCACCTTGTAGTCAGTGGATCCAGCCACCAGAAGGATGTTATTGGGATGCCAGTCCAGCGACGTCACCGTCGACCTAATGGGCTTCTTGATGTGCTTCGACACCCACCAGTCGTTCTCCTGCTCGAAGTAGCACACAGAGATGAGCCTGGCGCCCGATCCCACAGCGAACTTATTCTCTTGCGGCGACCACTTCACGCACGTGGCAGCCCGATTGATGCGCAGCAACACCAGCGCCGGCTTCCACTTGCTATCCTCGCCCTGGGTCCACACGTATGCGTTCCTGTCCACTGCACAGGTCACAATCCGGTTGGTATTTGGCGCCCAGTCGATACCCATCACGCGCAAATCATGCTGATTCAGCACATCCAGCAGCTTCCAGTCAGCAGCGCCTTCCCTCTTGTAGATGTGCACCTCATGGTTGTTCGGGGAAATTGCGATTTCTGTCCAGGGGAGAAGAAGAGAGTGAAATTACCTCCCGGAAAGGCTCACAATGAGGAAAATTCTCACGAGATCGATCCTTGTTCCATGCATGGCAAGTGATGGGGTTCAAATTCCCACCAAATGTATGTCTCTCAGTCATCTTCAGATAAAATACTGCCCTTGGGGTGTCAGAAATGCCTAAAACTGACCGGAAGAAGAGATATGAACGGCCAATGAACGGCTGAATCATCACAGCACCCCACCCAGTTTACCTTTCGTTCGGGGTGAAAACACAGCTTCTTCGAGGGTATTTCGCGGACTCTGGGCCGTCTACACGAAATATCCACTGCAGGGGGATGCAAAGAAGGCTTCTAGCCGGGATATGGGGTGATAAAAAGTGTTGAAATTGGAGAAATTTAACTGGAAAACACCAATATGCAGGACGTGAGACGTCAAAGACCTACTCGACTGCCGAATCCACTCAATTGTTACTTCTAAACCTATCAAATGTAATCTGATTCCGAAACTGCAGTTTCAGGAATTGCCACAATAAAGTCTTTGGCGCCAGTGTAGCGAAACAGGTGTTTTTTGTTTACAAACAACGTGGTCGCGGAAAACCGGCAATTGGCGATGGCAATTGTATTCCGCTGTGAAAATTCACTCTTCCTCAGCCATAAGGAGCTCATTGACTCCCATTATCGAGGAACTTATGAGGTAAAAAAAGAGCTATTCGAGATTAATCGCCCGTTCGTGGAAAGCAATGATAGTGCCACCAGTAGTAGCAATCCAAAGCGGAAACGGAGGAAGTTAAGCAAACAGGAAGTGAGTGATAGTAAGAAAAGTGTTATTTATCAATGCCTGATGTTGTGCTCTTTGAAATGTTCCAGGGCAACAACGAATTTGAACAACGACTGAAGGAATTTGTGGGGAAATGCAGGGAAGCTGGTCATCTGGAGAAATCGGATGATTCAGCGACAAATGCGAGTGCTCTCGAGGAAGCCAGTAAAGTCCACAATCTGGGTATTTCCCACCCGATCTTGCAGGGTGAGAACAAGAATCTACAGTGCATTAGCACGAAAATCGACGAGCAAGAATATCTCATTCCGCCAGAGTGTCGATTCCACCAGAATGATGTGAGACAAATGGAGAGTTTTCTGCCTCTTGGGGAGGAGTTTGACCTCGTTGTGATGGATCCGCCGTGGTGGAATAAGTACATTCGACGCGTGCGGAGGGCCAACAAAAGTATCAGCTACAATATGCTGTTCAACGACGATGTGGCTGATATGCCGCTGGGGCGATTGACCTCCTGTCGCGCAATCGTGGCAATTTGGTGCACAAACAACAAGAGTCACCTGGAGGACGTGGCGACAAAGTTCATTCCCCGCTGGGGCCTCAAACTCATCACCCAGTGGCTGTGGATGAAGGTCACGAAGCAGGGAGAGCCAATCTGCAGCTTCGGCGAGGAGGAGAAGAAGCAGCCTTTCGAGAGAATCATCGTGGCGGCGAAGGACACGCCAGAGAACACTTCACTGATTGAGAAAATTCCCAGGGATCTGATGCTAGTCAGCATTCCCAGTTCCATTCACTCCCACAAACCTCCTCTCTTGGGTGACTGCAAGTGATTTTCATACGTGAAAAGTACTTATTTTGCTGCATATTGCAGATATCTTCAAGTCATTTCTTCCTCCGGAGCCGAAATGCCTGGAAATCTTCGCGAGATACCTAACTCCAGGATTCGCATCTGTGGGCTTGGAAGTGCTGAAACTCCAGCATGTAAGTTTGTTTAATAAACTCGATATTTATTAAAAGATTTCGAGATTCAATGGCCATTCACGATGCCTGTCTTGTAGCCATTGGGATTCATAGTCTGCCACCGCCAGAAATCAGTGCCTGTAAAAGAAGTGGTTTTACCTGGGAATTTTATAAGGGATTTCCTGCAATACTTACACATTTCCTCTAGCGTGAATTCCGCCTTCCATCCCAATTCTGTCTCGGCCAGTGTTCTGACAAAGACGACAGATTCATTAGATAGAGTCGAATCACGAATGAGGATGATTACTTACGGATCAGCGTACATGGTGGAAATATCTCCTTGTCGTCTAGCCTGGATTACGTAGGGAACTTGTACGTTATTGACCTTCTCGAATGTCTTGAGGAGCTCTAGGACAGAAACTCCCTTTCCCGTGCCCAAATTATACATCTGCACAATGGAAAATCCACATCAGTAAGACTTTATCTCGTGAAAATACCTCCAGAAGTTACCTTGACACGAAGATGCTGCTTTTCAAGCTTCTCCAGCGCCTTCACGTGTCCCGTACTCAAGTCCATCACGTGAATGTAGTCACGAATTCTACACAGATAGGCCCAGAAGTTAGCTAGAGACTCTGAGAGAGTGTTCAGGGAAGCTCCTTACCCAGTTCCATCCGGTGTGTCGTAGTCATCGCCGAAGATGGTGAGACAATCCTTCTTCCCGCTGGCCACTTGGCTGATGTAGGGCATGAGATTGGTGAATTGCTTAGTGGGATCCTCGCCGATGAGGCCGGATTTGTGGGCGCCGACGGGATTGAAGTACCTCAAGGCGATAATGTTCCACTCCTCTTCGGCCACTGAGATGTCCCTCAGCATTTCCTCAACGAAGAACTTGGTTCTGCCATAGACATTGGTCACCTTGCCCGTCTCCCTCTCCTCCGTGATGGGCAGCTCAGTGGGCTCACCGTAGACGGTGCAGGAGCTAGAGAAGACCAGGTTGAAGACTTTGTGCTTCTTCATCACCTCCAGCAGGTGGATCATGCCGATGAGGTTGTTTTTGTAGTAGAGCAGGGGTTGCTGCATGGACTCTCCGACGGCCTTCATGGCCGCGAAGTGGATAACCGAGTCGATTTTGTACTGCAAAGATGCGAAATAGAATTTGTCACATGAAGCAACAGGCAGGAAGATCAAGTTCTGCGCCAAGGCTGATTGCTAGAGATCCTGTCCTATAAATCACTCAACAGGCCGATTATGGAAATTGGAGAAGAGCCACTGGCGAGTGGAAGGACGCGAATTGGAGCGTGCAAAGGAAGTCGCGATGGGTTTCACTTGCATTCTTACCGTCTGGAATATTTGATCGAGCGCCTCCAGGTCCAGCAGGTCACACTTGTAGAAGGCCACAGGCTTCCCTGTGATCTGCTCAACTCGCTGGAGTGCCACTGATTCATTCTTGAAGTTGTTCACGGCATTGGCGAAGTTGTCCAGTGCGATCACTTCGTAGCCCGCCTCCTGCAGACTCACCACGCAGTGTGATCCTATGTAACCGGCTCCGCCAGTCACCAACACGGTCTTCCCATTAGACATGCTGCCTCGTGAAGAAGAGTCATTAGTTTTTATACCTTCCCCTTTCATGCTATTGTTTGCACTCGAATTGAATTGCACACAGGGGTTAACGGCATCGTAAGCAGAGTGATCTTCGCTTCAGCGGAGGATGAGAAGCATGAATGAGTGTGACGAGAACCTTGAAGATGATGAAGACATTGACTTGGGCCAGAGAGAGAATGATTCGCCAAGAGTGGCGCTAAAGTCCAAATTAGCTTTCGATTTCGTCTCAGAGCGCGCGTTGTGCAGAGGGATTCCCAGAAGATCACAAAGATCACTGGATGGACGAGATTTGTCGCGGTGTGTGTCGCGAAAATGCCAAAGTCAAGGTGCAATTTTTCTTTAAAAATAGAAGATTGGGAAAGAAAGAGAAGAAGCCAAGCAGCGAGATGATCTTCTCAAAACCGGTCGCGCTGTGAATTTCAACAGAAGCCATACGATCGCTGCACGATCAATTTGCCGTATGATGACATCACTAACATATTTCTGTGATTTACAGTTAAACATACTTTACACCTCGACGTAATTTGCTTGTGGCCTTTCACAACAATTCACACAAACGCTGAGGTGCTCGCTGGGATGGCGTTTCCGCTGGGCCCATAATCTAATTGTAAGATCTCTCACGCGTCCGATAGTGATTTACACCGTTCACAAATACGTGGGGCATTTTATTGGGCACTTCTGTGGCGATTCACTTTGCCCTCACATTTATCTACCTTGAGCGAAGACTATAATCGACGAGACACGTGACTGCATCGTGAATTTTAGCAATTTAAATGGCCTTTTTTTCTATAAATTCCACCTCACAAATTGATAGAGAAAAAAAACGTCCATGATTTGCGGTAAATTGTGAGAAATGTGCAAAAGGTGGAAATTTGTTTAACACACTTTTTGTCGATCATCAATTATATGCCTCAGTGGAAGATCACTGAAGATGCCTCGCTATCCTCGATATAATGCCAAAGATCTCTCAAAAACCTGTTTCCACACACACTTTACCTATTTTAAATCGAGCTGCTCCTTCGTGCACAAGCCAAATCCCTCGTGAATGCACCGCAGTGACACTGATCCCTTAAGCTTTGGACTCTCAACTGATCACACGCGATCGACGCACACGGGACGGTGAGTGGGTAATTAGAATTCCACTGAACCGGTCAAGAACGCCAGCCAAATGACTCAAACGTCGTTGCTCAAATGAACGAGCGCCACGATCTCGCCTCTATTTATGCCTTTCCCGATCGTGCGCTAAGACTGGAGAAACTTGGAGTAATGCGGGAGGCGCTAAGCAGACGTGATCAACCTGAAGATTCCCGGGCGGTTGCCGCTGGAATTCTTGCGGTCGGGGGACATTAAATACTGACTCATAAAGACACTTGTTATCACTTTTTTTTATGTACAGCACGTCTTTTCTTCCTTTATTTCAAAAATACGCTGGCATACAAAAAATATCAGTTAAAAATTTGCAATCGCATCGCCGGATATTGTCTGATGGTTCGTTTTTTCAAGAGAAATAATATCGTCGAAAAGAGAGAGACTTCAAGATAAATCCGTTTACCTCCAATTGTGTATATAATCAATCGATATTAAAGTACAAAAGCCACCCTTCCACACACTGAGACTCTCAATTTTCTGCTCCTTCTGTTGGGTGGTGGAAAAAGTCCCCGTGTCGTTTTGGCATTTTGGTTGCTTCTTGGATGTTACAAAAGTGTTAGGTTCTAAGTTCTCTAGCTAATGTTATGGGATATAAGGCCTCGTTCACTTTATCAATGTGTTACCCTTCAATAAATGTCTCCTATATATACAGTCTAATGATAGTTTCATCGCTCTCAAACACCTATCACACCATTCGCTTGCTCTCCATTCAGTATTCATAGGGTTCTCTCTGTGTACTTACAATCTACGCTGACTCCCCGCCCACCTTGCCACAATCCGGAGTGGAAATGTGGGTGAAATTATTTCGATATGCTGATTAGAAGTAATTCACGCCACTCCGACTACGCTCTGGCGCTGCGACACCTTCTGATCAGCCACTTCTACGCTGCTCGTCGTGGTGGACGGACTGTCCAGAGGCTCATCATCGCCGGAAATCAAGGCCTCCGACTCTGATTCCACCACCTTCTCGCGGCTGTCCTTGCGGATGGAGCGATACTTCACCTTCACGCGCTGCAAGATGCTCTGATCACCAGCTGTCCCGCCCTGGAGTCGCTTCTTGTTCTTCCGCGTGTGGCGCATCAGGAAATTGTCAGTCACCCAGAATATCAGCATCTGCAAAGAGAAACACAGCACCTTTATAATGAGCCACAAAATGCCATAAATGTCGGACATTTACATTGACAAAGAATGGGATTATGAGCATGACGACAGCCAATTCGATCTTTGGATCAGAAAATGGAGAGAGGACAAAGTTCTTCACGTTGTCCCAGAAGTCCATCTGAATGAAGATTGTGGTGATTAGCTTCACGATTGCCATCAACCCAATGTAGATCCACGTCTGGTAGATCCAGGACTTTGGGGCGCCGTACTCCCCGAAGTTGATGGCGTCCCAGTGGCGACTGCGGGCCAGATATTGGCACACCCGAATTCCCACGTAGATGATGAACAGGCCGATGGTGGAGTCCAGGAGGAAGTTGATGATGTACCAGGTGCACGGGTCGCCCTGGAAGAGGGGCGCCAGGTAGACGTTGGTCATGTGTATGACCAGCGCCCCGATGCCCTGCTTCGATGTGTCATACCACCACGTCTCCCAGGAGCGGCGCACGTAAGATGGCTCGCAGAAGCGCTTCACTGCAAATAGAAACACCCAATAAGCACAGAGTAGCAATGGGTCAACGCGAAAACTAACCTATGAGGCAGAGGAAGGCAATCCCCGCCAGGAGACCCTGCAAAAACCACCCGAAGACATCAGTGAGCGAGTCCTTGGTGCAGTGCAGGCTGGACCATTGTGTGTCTTCCGCGAAAACCGATGAGTATTGTGATGAATTCATTTAATTACTACACATTTATCACACTTTCATAGCAGGTTGGTAATCTAATTAGGATGTTTCCCAGCTTTTTATCTGCTCTTCCTTCCCAGAAATGAAAACATGCCCCAGCGACAATCGCGACCTCTGTGTGGTGAGCTGAGAGAGCTCGCCGCATTGACAGCTCACCAAAGCGCTCGCCGCGCCTTCTACATCCGTTTCTCTCTCTTTTCAATCGTCCACATTGTCAGTGGAGGTTTATCGCAGGATTTCCAGCTATTTTCCGCGAATAGCAAGCATCTTGTGCACTCAATTTTGCACTAAACAGGATCCACCATGCCGCCTAAGTTTGATCCCAATGAAGTGAAGTTCGGTGAGTGGCCGAGAAGAGGGGAAAACAGTGTTCTGGTGACGTCCCCAGGAGCTCCACAAGCTATATTTTTCCCATGATTTTTCACGTTTCAGTGTACCTCCGCTGTGTTGGAGGCGAAGTGGGCGCTACCTCATCACTGGCCCCGAAGATCGGTCCTCTGGGTTTGGTGAGTATTTGCTTGGCGAAAGGAAAATACCGACATAACCTCAACCGGGTGGCTGGGCAGAAGAGCGTGTGCTGATCCGGAATGTTTGTCTCATTGTAGTCGCCGAAGAAGGTGGGTGATGACATCGCCAAAGCGACGGCGGACTGGAAGGGACTGAAAATCACGGTGCAGCTGAGGATCCAGAACCGACAGGCCACAATTGCTGTTGTGCCTTCAGCCGCTTCCCTCATTATCCGCGCCCTGAAGGAGCCGCCAAGAGACAGGAAGAAGGTCAAGAACAGTGAGTAGTAGCTTGTGTTTATGGTTTATGAATGGATTTGCTAAGGCATTTATTTGTATCGCAGTCAAGCACAGCGGAAACATCTCCTTCGATGACATCCTCGCCATCGCACGCACGATGCGGGAGCGCTCGATGGCCCGGGAGCTGAATGGCACTTGCAAAGAGATCCTCGGCACGGCTCAGAGTGTGGGATGCACGGTGGACGGACGCCATCCTCACGATATAATCAATGACATCAATAACGGGTCCGTCGAGGTTCCCGCTGAATAAGGAATGTCTGCAAATACAGAAGAAAAACATTCAGAGATACATTTGCCTTTCAGTTTCCTTTATTTACTGATAGACTCGATCGATCCCCAAATGATTTCGCTGTTTTCCCTCAAGGATATTTTAAAAAATGGTTTGTCTTTCTCAACAAGATTCACAGCAAATTATAGTGCGTGTTGTACAAAGTTTGGAGGCTAAATGAGTAGGTTAAAAAAATTGTAGATAATTCTTCTCTAGTTCATAATTTTTCCTACAAAGGATTTGATAAGATATATATTTTCCAAAGAAATGATTTTCCTACAAAACTGCGAAAAAGCCACAAAAGCTTTGGGTGCATTAATTTTTCGCCTTTTCGCCGCAGCGAATTTAATTCGATTCCCCAGTCACACCGTGGCGCTCGCTACGCTAAAGAGCAAGTATTTGTTGTGATTTTCATCGTCGCGGCGTCATCTTGTGAAATTTCTTCACTATTTTCATTGTTTACGTGAATATTAGAGCAACCTTTCGAGTGATTTCGACTTAAAAAGTTAGAACAACCATGGATGATGAGGCGGAGACGTACAAATTGTGGAGAATCCGCAAAACTGTGATGCAGGTGAGCAAACAAAATTCGGCTCATGGTGTTTAACCTCAACAACTGTAAAAATGTGCTAACAATTCTTTTGCTTTCCAATAAAATGCAGTTGAGTCATGATCGGGGGTATCTGGTCACTCAGGACGAATTGGATCTCACACTGGAGCAGTTCAAAGAGATGTTCGGGGACAAGCCCAGGTGAGAATAGTGGATGCTCGTCTTTCCGGATGGTGTTTGATAAACTTCTTGTTGATTTACAGCGAAAAACACCCTTCTCGGCAGGATCTCACTGTCCTGGTGGCGCACAACGATGACCCTACAGACCAGATGTTTGTCTTCTTCCCGGAGGAGCCCAAGATCGGCATAAAAACAATCAAGACTTACTGCACTCGAATGCAGGAGGAGAACATTCACCGAGCTATTGTGGTAGTCCAAGCGGGAATGACACCATCGGCTAAGCAATCGCTCGTGGACATGGCACCAAAGTACATTCTGGAGCAATTCTTGGAGTCTGAGCTGCTGATCAACATCACGGAGCACGAGCTGGTGCCCGAGCATGTGGTGATGACGCCGGAGGAGAAGCAGGAGCTGCTGTCGCGGTACAAGCTGAAGGAGAACATGCTGATGCGCATCCAGGCCGGAGACCCCGTGGCCAGGTACTTTGGCCTCAAGCGCGGGCAGGTGGTGAAGATAATTCGACCGTCTGAGACAGCCGGAAGGTACATTTCCTACAGACTGGTGTGCTGAGTGAGAGGTGAGGACGGGTCATCATTTTTGCGCGATTTATCGGACAAGGGTTGGGTCATTGACACACGAGCGCACGTCAATAGGCCGTGAGGAAATTTGAGGAAAATGCCAATGGCGAGAGAAAAATTGCTGGTGGAACAGGAAAAGAGGGAATGGCAAATTTGGCAATAAATTAAAGTTCGAATTTCCAACAATGCCACATTTGTTTCAAAATAGCCATCCATCAGCTGTTTTTACTTTATGTAAGCTACTCGGTGCGGATATATAAATAGGTGCAGACACATTATATACGCTGCCACAGAGCGTAAATGTGCTGCTATGCAGTATATAAGGTGGCGAGCTATAACCCAGTATACAAGGCGGAACACCAGCCAGCCGATGACGCGCTCTATGTGCTCCTCTGCCGCGTCTATGCTATATGTAGCCATGGTGCTATTTACCATGTACTTACACTTGACTACTCGCATACAATCGCTCCACACACACTCAGGCGCGCCAGTTGGAAAGTGAAGTGTGCCTAGGGGAGGCCCGGGCGAGTGTGAAGTGCCACTCGGCGCTCTCATCGATGTGCCGCCCGTTTCTCCTTCGTGAGCGTGTGTTTGGGGCCCGTGGAGAGTCGTCCCGCCGCCAGGAGGTGGCACACAATCAGTATAAAATATCTCCTAACGATTATTTATCTTCCATTAAAGTCGCCCCTCTTATTTGTCCAAAAGAGTGTACACATTTTGATGGTTTTGTGTGGATGTGTGTGCAGCAGCCAGTCAGGATGGAGCGAGACAGAGTGCGGCAATTGAGGAGCGGAAGACGGAGTAAATATTCAATATTATTCCCTGCTACAGCCATGTTGGCCCTATCGATCCCACTTTCGTTACTTCACAGATTCTATCTTACGATATGTAATAAAAACACAACACCACTGCACACGCATGTGGTTATTTGCTCGGGGCGGACTTGGTCGCGCTGGATGGTCCCCTACAATTCTGCCGAGTGGCGAGACTCAGGCGTAGGCAGGTCCACTAACACAGAGCAGCCCGCAGATTAAGTGGTTTAATATCAGGACGGTTGTTTTTTTTTCTCCTCTTTCCGTCTGTAGGGCTCTCGCGAGTCTCCATGGCTCTAGATCTACCCCTGGTTCACCCTGGCCCCGCTCACTCTGCAAGTCTCTCCGGCTAAGTGTGTCACAGACAATTTTGTCGCCATATAAGTTGCACAATTCGGAAGAGCGGCTACTTTTAGCATGGCATACGGAAAGTATCGAGTTTCTCGACATCTCTCTTCCCAAGCGGAGAGCCAGCATCAATCGCTGGGGGCGCTGGCGAGGAGAACGCGTAGAATTCAGCGGTGCGCCCGAGAGAGAGAACGGTGGGCTTTAATTTATTAAACAAATTGAGAGTATGTGCCCTGATGGTGAGAAGCACTGGAGGAGGAAAAACAGGTATCCAGCGACTTGTGTGTGAATCCTTGATTTGGACCCCGAATAGTAATAAAAAGAGCCATTGAGAGAAGCCTACAAGAAAGGTGAGGTGAGGAGGAGCAAAACCTGAAATGAATAGAGGAAGAGCGCAGTGTTTTGTTAGGTGTTACGACAGCTGAAACCAAATTATTTATTACATTCTATTATTTTTCTTTTCATGAAGAGACCCCAATACTGAGGAAAAAGCTCCCTCGCTCTCACTCGCACTCGATTCCCTTCAATGGGCCTCTTATTGTGCTGTGTGTTCAGGGGGGTGCCATGTGTGTGTGTTTACCTTAAAAACATTCTGCCTTTTACAACACAAAATTCCTATGGGCGCTTGCGCACTCTGTCCTACCACCACACAGCTGGGCGCGCTCTTTCGCCCAATATCGCTGCCTCTCTGTTCCACGCGTGAAGATGTTGCGCAAATGTGTGTGCGATGTTGGCAGAAGAGAAGAAAAGTTTATTAAATAAACATGAACTTAAAGTGCTCTTGTTATTTAATTAAATTCAAAATGGACGCAACACTTTTAGGGAATCCTTGTACAGTAATTGAGTCAGGAGAAGCTTTCTGCTGCACCGTGGCGCTGCTGGAGGGCCAAAGTGGTGTCTCTGTGTGCTTTTTGGGCGAGTTTTTCATGTGAAATGATTAATGTTTCAGCCTGAAATGGTGGAAAAATGACGGGCCCGAGAGTGACGTTGTGTAGGTGCGGCTATATTTACAAATTGTATTACTCTGCGGCACACATACGGCGGTAGATTGACAGTCGCAGAGGCGCGTATGGATACGGAAAGTGAGAAATAATAAATAGTACGGATGCGAGTGTGAGTGACGTAGAGGAAGATAGGAAGTTGGCTTTTTTCGCCGAAAATTAGCCATCGGTCCAAAGGTGCGGAAATGCCGTGGAAAAGCCCGAGAGTCGATGGGTGGAAGTTGCAGGAAAAGTGTCTGCAGATGTGCAGACTGTCCCGTCTAGACGGCCTTACCCTATGGCTGAGTGAGTGTGCGTGAGTTGGCCGCGAGTTCCTCTTCTTCATTCCACATTTCCTCCAGTCGTCGACGAGCCGTCAAGCGGTGAACACGGGCAAAGGTGGAGTGTCGTGTACATAAATTTGTCCAGTAAAGGTGTGAAAAAAGACAAGAAGTGTAATCAAAGTTCATTAAATAGCAATTAGACGCGGCGATGCTGTATAATTTAGCGATATTGGACGAAAGAGTGCTTCTAAATGGCGCACAAGGACACTAAATAGCGCCCAATCGCGAGAGGGGGTTGAAAAAGAAAGGAAGTGAGAAGAAGAGGGGCCAGAAGAACTTGGCTGGGTGTAAGTGATTTATAACTGATTTCTTCTTCCACTTCTCTGACCAGAAATTCCTTCTTCAACCATATTTTCCACCTAAAATTTCTATTCAAATTCTGTGAAAGAAAAATTTATTTATTCAAACCTCTCTTCGGTGGTGTTCCTTTTATCCAACACCGAAGACATGAGAAGATGGCTGAATATCGGATTTTTTATTAGTCGGAGAATTTAATATTCCCACTTTGGGAATCATTCTTGGGGTCTCCTATTCCCGATACTTTCGTTGCGCCGCGAGTAGGGGAAAAAATGGCAGCGATTTGTTCGGTGTGGGCTTCTTTTTCACTCCCTTGGATGATAAGTTGATGGCAATGGTTTTTTTTTGGGCTAGGAAAGGAGTAGCCGAGAGAAGACTACCCATCGGAGATAAATTAGCGAAATTTTATAGGTTTCGAGAAATGAAATATCCGTGGGGCATTTTGTATTCTGCCGTCTCTACTGTGTTCTTCCTCGTGCACCAATAAAACTCTCTGGCTGTCCAATTGGAAAGGGAAATATTTGATTGCAGTGGTATGTTAAGTGTGCAGGCTAAGAGCTCTGGCAGAATGCTCGAGCACACTGATCTCGAGATCTCAAGTATCGTTCTTATTCCATCTTCTGTTCAACACTTGTCATATCTTTCTATGAAGTATAAAAACTCTGTCTAGCCTATTTTTCTGTTAGAACAGCTAGGAGTACAATAAATTCATAATTCGCGGTGACAAATACTCAAAATGATCAGCAGTGTAGATGGTTTTCCGGGAATGCGTGACAAATGTTCAATTTTCTGTGATTACTATTCAAGGAATGACATACTTTATCTGCAAAGTCCAAAGATATTGTCGAGCACAGGCAAAGTCATTGATTACATTACACTTCCTCTTCTTCCCATGCGGCGATTGTGTGCGAGATTTTCGTGCGGTGAAAAAGCCGAGAATGAAATATGTCGGTTAGATTTTAAACCTTCTAATAAATGGCTAAAATGCTGAAAATTCGATGTGGCTCATAAATTTTTGGAATATCCACTTCTGTGTCTCTTCTCGCTCATCTCTGTGAGCTCTGTGAGAGAAGCCGATGGAATTTCAAACGTGTGACGATCGTTAGATCAATTTATGCACAATGTGTGGTGGTCATGTATTCGGCTGTGCATTAATGCAAATGATGTCTCCACCTTAATTGTTTGAAATTAATACACGCGCACTTTGGGGGTGCGGAGGGCGTTGCTTTTTTCCCAACTGCGGTCCTCAATTATGCCATCTGGCCTGTCTGGGTGGAAATTCTTTGTCTGGCCGCGCTGTTGGCCTCTTCTGGCGGAGGAGAATCCACACGGGGCTCTCGCGCCCCATACAAAGAACCCACGAAAAGCCGCGGCGATCGAGAGCTCTGTGTGTCATCAAAACCACACAAGGCATTAATAATAATTCCTGAGTGTGTGAGAAACCATAAGGAGGCTCTCGGGGAGAGAGATAAACTCGTCTCTTTAGCGGTTGAGTTGTAGAATATAAAAAGAGACCTCACATTCGTACAAAAGTGTAAAAGAGAGTCGAATGACCGGATTTCAAAGTGTGCCCGTGGATGGGTTAATTAACGAGAATTCATTAAAATTTTTAATGCACGTAAAGCTGAAAGATGCAACGGGCCATGAGAGGTATTTGGTATGTGCAACACTCTATGTTCACAGCAGCGCCTATCGTGTTGAATAAGAATTTGTCACCCAGACTGATGATTTCCTCCCTGAATCATTCAATATTGGGCGCGCTCCACTGACGTCAGCACGAAGACAAACAGAAGGCGAACGACAAGGAGGAAAAGAAGTAATCGCATGGATTTAATGTGCGCCCAGGCCTTTGCCGGGGTAATTGCATTTCCTATTGACGAATCGCTACTCTGGGGGGTGGAATTGCGGGGCAGATCGGAATGGGTGCCTGGGCAAATGATCATGAGCGGAGAACTTTATGGTCGGTGTTGTGAATCGTTTAAATTTTTGTCCCAATGAGTCACTTCCAGAGAAAGCTGGTGCCTCGATTGAAAGTGGCTGATGGGCAGTGTTCGTGGGGCCTGCGGGGTATGAATTTTCATGCGGTGGCTGCCGCACAGCGGAAATACGACGAATATTTACTTGGAAGAATGTATTATCATGCAAATAGATAAAGGCTGTATGCGCAATTTGAATTATTTTACGACTAAAGCATGGGGGAGAGATACATATTGCGCTCAAAAATTATTCAATATCTCCCAATAGCTCTGTGCCTTTTGACCACGCCGTGCTCATTACAGTGGCGAAGAGGAAACTCTGTACGCAATATAGTCTGTGCGGAGACTCTATTTTGTTGCGTATATGGTAAATCACAATTTATGATTTATTCAGTGAATTCATTTTTGTATTTTATAAAGCGAAACAATTATGAATTGACTATTTTTGCATAATTAATAAACTCATAGTCGTAATTATTCATCAACTTGCATTTTTCTTCATTTAGAGCTTTTTTTTTATTAATCGTGCAGCAATATATTGTAGCAAAATTGATTATAAGCCACAATAGTGCAGAAACGTGTGTTCCTTCAATCTTAAAGAGTTTCTCCATGTCTGCGAATGCCTTTGGGTGTATTTATGTTTGCTGCCAGCAGTGTAAATATCTTGTGGCTCTCCCCATTAATATTAATTGTTTGAATAAACAATTCCTAAATATTTTCATATTTTATTTGTGAGCTGTGTTTCCTTAAAAACATCGTATACAACTTGTGTGCCGCGAAGAGGGCACTCCGTATTGGCTGGCATAAACATAAAACTGTATTATTTAAGATTTTTTTTTTATATATCTAGAGTGTTTTTGCCATGGGACACGCCAATGTGGAAATTGAATATTTATAAAAATAAGCATTTGCGCCATGGAAGACACATATAAAGAGTTGATAGTTTAATTTGAATAAATTCCCAAAGATGATTTCGTACACACAGGCTGTATAAATTTTTATGCGCAGAGATGAAGAAGAAAGAAAGAAAAGACTGTTGGTGTAAAACATTGAAAATTTTACAGTCCACAGTGAAGAGAGTCGTCTTCTTCTGCATTAATTTGATTCAATTTGTTTATATTACTATGGTAATATTGATATGTTAATTTGAATATAAATTTTTACATACGTACAACCGAAAGAAGACATGTGGAGGAATACTTAAGAAGAAAAATTATTTGCCACAGAATGGATATCTCGTGAATATACAATTTTTATATGGCTGCCATACCCTTAGTGAATTTGCAGTGTAACTTGTGGCTTTCCTCCTCCAATTATGACTGTGCGGAGTCCATTTTGGAATAATGCATGATTAATTTAGATTGTTACTTGGCAGCTCCCTCATTTAAAATCACAAAATAAGTATAGCCGCGCGGTGGATAGATTGTAATGATATTAAACAAATGGCTCGGGTGTATGGATACGTATTTGGAGGCAGAAAACCACTTTGTCATTAAAGGTATTTTAGCTTAATGGTGGCTCTCTGGTGTGTTAAATATGCAAAACTGCAAGAGTGTAATTTTTATACACATGGCACAACATTACAACATGTTTTCAATTGATGTGGGGAGTTAATAAAATGCCTACACATGTATATTTGCACATGTTGACGCTCTCTATACTAACGTAATGAAAATATTGATCTCAATGTTGGTCGCTGTGGTATTAATCATTAAAAATTAAAATTTTCAATTACGGACAAAATGTGAATAATTTAAAAAGTAAATGAAGCACATTTTAATCTTTTTTTGCATTGCAATCATTGTATACACACACAGAAGGTGAAATACAGAAAAAAAATGTATTTTCAAATGTGAGCACTTTGAGGTGCATACAGCAGTATGTGGTCGCATTGAGGTGAAAAGGTCGTCGTCACGGCCAAAACCCCAGCGAATGGGGCTCAGCCAGGCGCACACAAGAAGGTAGGATTGCTATCAGGCAGCAGCAATCAGAATTTAGCTTGAAAGGAGTTATAAAAAGACGAGAGATTTTTAATAGTTCCGCGCATTGTTTCCGGACACACCAGTTTATCCAGTCTTGCAAGCAGTTAAAACTTACATTATACGCGAAATATGGTGTGATGGAGAAAAAATACTCTGGGTATTGTACAATTCCTCCGCCAGGGCAATATTGTTGCCACTTAGCCTCTCATGCTCTCTGGCTGTCTGATAAATTCCTATGCGAGGGGGAAGAAGTCGGGATGCATTTGTCCATGATATGCGAATATTTCCCTTGCCACGCTCTTTTCCACGACTCCTTTGCCATTTTCAGTAAATGAATGCTACAAGTGTACTGTTAATTACATGTTTTTCTTTTTCTCTATTTCTCTTCCATGTGCAATGCCAAATCATTCAGGCAATATCATCGATGAATGAGGTGTATAGGTGGTGAGAAAGAAAGGTGAAGTGAATTTTTATGGTGTGCTAATGGTTTATTTTTTTCCTTTATCTCCATCTCTCGAAAAAGAAGACAGTGTAGCATTTCTGAGGAACCCATAGTCATAAATATGAAATGTGTGTTTGCGAGTGAGGAGGAAAATGCACTTGATTAATGCAAAAATAGCATAGATAGTGGAATAATAATAGTGCAGTGGTTTGCAGTAAATGTTAATAATTTAGGAAAGAAGTAAAGGGAAACAAGCGAGAGAATAATTCATGTACAATGATTCGATACCATGGTGCTCAACCACCACCATCTGTGTCATCCTCAATCAATACGGCGTGCTGTCATCTGAATTGCTCTCGACCCAATAACTTTCTGCCAGCGTCAGCGACCACACGAAATGGACTGCCACGCTGTCCGGACACACTGCTGGACATCACGGCGAGGCGGGTGGCCGAGGCGGAGCCCTTTCAGCGTATCGAGGAGCGCTACGACAGGATTCCCGAGCCTGTGCAGCGTCGCATCATTTTCTGGTCTTTTCCACGGAATGAGCGCGACATTTGCATGTACAGCTCACTGTCAAGGTAAGAAATCACTGCATGTGATTGAGCTATATCTCAGAGTGGTAATCTCTGCACAATGCACTTGGGCATTTCCAGTGCTAAGTTATTGATCGTGCAGGTGTAAATTAGAGACCACCCGTTGACAAATCGACATGCCTGTAGACAAAGTTGGATAAATTGACTAATTTGTTGTCTGCAACACGATGACGACCAATCTATATGGCTACCGGTTGCTGTGTATGCTATCCAGTAGCGAAATGAGGAAACTATAAACCCTTATATCACGTCTCCAGCAACATGGAATTAAGGGGGGTGTGGCAAAGGGGGAAGAGACAATTCACGTGCAAAAAGGGAATGAAATGAAATTTTGTTTGAAATTCGAACCAGTTCTTGCGAGTGGCAGGGCATCCGAACAGAAATTTAATGAGCACTGGGGAAGGGAAAGTTTACGCTCCTCTACAACGCCCTACAGCACAATATTTGTCATTCGCATTGGATTCCAGTTCAACTTCTAATATCCTGTTCGTATTTCAGGGTGTCACTCTTGAATTCTGGCGATTCGCAGAGTCTCAGCTTCTGCAAGGGATTAAAGCTGCTGGAGAGTGGCTGTGTGGAGAATGTTCTACAAGTTGGTGAGTTTTCCAATATATTTTTCTTATATGGAAGAAACGCCATTTTCTTGAAAATAAGAATCGTGTATATCTCAGTTTCCAGGCATTTAGCAAAAGGTTCTTCAGTAGAATTCTTCTCCTTTCACTTTATGCTGTAAATGTCTCTTGAAAATGTGTTATGCATTAAGGTATAGCGCGCGCGTGATCATGAAATGTCGCCAAAGAGTCCAGATTTTATGCGAGTGACTCATGTATATTGAAGTCTCGATTTATCTGTAATCTGGAGGAATTCAGAATGATTCAAAGGTGATACAGAGGAACTTTCGTAATCAGTAATTCTGTGATTTTCAGTCTGGTTTCTTTTCATTTCAAGAGATAGCGCAAGTCTCGTTTTCCAAGAAGTGTGTATAAAATTTTGACTATTTCACTACACAATCCTCCATACAAAACTTCATAGGCATTGTATTCGTTCTGCTAAAGGCAAAATTACACAATTGAAAGGAAACATGCTGCGGCTTTTGGTACCTTCAAAAATGAAAGACTTCCCTCTGTGGCTGAGATGAATCCTTTTTGATTGGGGCATTCGTGTGAGCTCGGAAATGCCGGGAGAACAGTGTGTAATGAAGAGAATTGCGTGGGTATTTGTGTGCTGGGAGAGCTGAAAAACACATTTTTCTACCTGTCAAAATTACCAGCTATAGCATTCAATCCGTCCCAGCATCCAGCACTTGCCCGTCATGCTGACGATGATGCCATGAGCGGTAGTCAGAGGAGCGAATATGTTTGTTGAATAGGCCAGAGGGTGATCCGAATTCGAACAAAGGCGCGCAGCATATATACGCAAGTGTTGGACGCAAAAAATCCTCTTGCTGACAATTTATTTTAGACGAGAGCGATGAGTAGTCGTGTCTCTATATTGCAATTTGGAGCTGGCTGTCTGGTGTTTGTGCATTTGAGAGCATATCTGGCAAAAAGCCTTTTTTGCGGATGATCGCAATTTCAACTGAGAGACGAACTACAAAATAGCATATCGATCTGCTTAGGGGAAGTCTTTGCTTGAAACTTTCCAAGTTTCCTTGTATGTGTAGTTATTGGGCAATGTGACTACAAAATAATTAAATCAGTCCTTTTAATATTATGCAAACTTGCTAATCACATTATATCTTCACAAAGGCATTAGAGAGTGCCGCAAATGGAGTTTGTGAAGTAAAAGGGTTGCATTAACTCGATGGCGAATCCCCCTTTTGCTCAACTTCCATGCGACTAACAACTTTGTTGGAGATGTCGTTACTTTGCATAAACAAGAATCAGGTTTAGATATCAGTTAAAGATGCTGTATTGTCAGTTCACCCTTTCAGAGTGCTCTGTTGTCTTGATTGCTGAATAAATGCATGGCGAGATTGAGGGATATCTCGCATCTCATGTCGTTGGACATAATATGCAAATTTCATCCAACTTCCACACAAGAATTGTGTATGATATGCAAGTTGATTATGTCAATACTTGCTAAATGTTCATATTTTTTTCGAAAGGGCAAATCAATGTGGATTTTTAATGCGCAATGAGTGGCGGATTTATTGTAATTATTGATGCTCTATGCAATATCGAGGCGTAAAGTCTCTACCCCTGAAGAATTTCGGGGCCAATCTACTCGTCTGATTGGCAGATTGGCACCTTAGTGAATCGTGAGTGGCACTTGTACACCCCCTGGCATAAGTCAGTACGTATATTGATGAATGCTTTCAGATTCTTTTGTTTATTTAGAAGTTGGTGAAGGACAGAATGTCTCGGGACATTTTCGCTAAACACTTTCCGTGAGGCGATATTAAATGGCAGCATCAATTGACTGTGTGTGACGGTATGTCGATGATGGCGTAGAGTTTCATCTGGCGAGGGGCTGTGGGCATGCGCTAAGATCGTCAAAATATAATTTGAAATTAAATTTAAACACACAAAAACCACGTATTGAACGTTGAGGATTAGACTGCGCATGCGGTCAGAAAGCAGAACGCAAAAATAGTATAATTTCGTTAAATTGGATCTCCGTGCTGAATCCAGAAAGTGTGAGTGAGAAAGAATGGATATGTATCTTCGGGAGGGTGATGGGGAGGTATGTAGATAAGCAATTTGTCGTTATGTTTACTAATTTTATTTTCTCTCATGGGTTACATAGGACAAACAATTTACTTTCCATTCTGCTAAATTTAATCTCCATCTTGATGTGATTTTACAGTTGAGAGAGAAGAATGGCCTGGATGTTTTATTGTCGAGTCAATTAAGGTGACTTTTGTCTAAAATGCGGAGGAATACATCTGGCAACAATTGAAATATTGGTGTAATCAGAAAAGTGTGCAATTTGGCCTTTATCCAGATTTATCTGGGGAGATATGTATACTGGCACTTCCACACGCACAGTAATACCCTGGATGGGAGCTTAAGTTGCGAAGGAGGGTGGAAACTTTATGCTGTGCGGTTCTTTCGCATTGATTTTTCATTTATTTTATGTCCAGAGAGGAGAGAGTGTTAAAGTTTTCATGCACATCTCTCGCACAACAGCCATAAAAATTTATACATCGTCATCACACATAGCAGCCCTTCTAGCATTGGATGTAGCGCTGCATGGAATAGGTATACGACATAAGCGCACGATTATAGTACTTTCATACGTATTCACAATATGATGTGGGCGAGAAGGGAGACGAAATGCTCGGGAAGAAGTGGTGCTCCTCTCTTATACTTTGTGCCCGAATGGGCCATGGTGTTCGGAATATGGGATTGAATTTATTGGCAAGGAAGTATATAAGACAGATATTACACTCATACACTTGAAATACTTGAAGGAAGAATGCCTGATGAAGTTTGTGATAGACGTTGGCATGTGTGTTATACTTGTGAGATTAATTCAGGGAAATGGTTTAAGATAAACTATTGGGCTAATCGGGCTCGGGGAGGCGGCAAAAAGCGAAGGAATTTCAAACGAAAGGGCTAAATTAAGAGTGGAGAGGCCATTAGTGTGGAGAATTGCAAACAGGGGTTTACTTTACAGCACAACTCGTAGGGTTGGAAATGAGACACTCACAGGCGGAGTATGAAATTATGCATGAGGGAAATGGAATCCCCCCGTGTTATTGCCACCATCTGATATATGTTAATACTGTATACAAACATTTGCTTCACGTGTTATCATTGGAAATATAGGAAAATCTACCCAGTTAAATATATAGGGGAATATATTAAAATCCTACTCTAGTTCGCCATCGCACCATAAACTATGGCCCTCACTGTGAAATGAAATGAAATGCAAATTGGAGAATGACTAATTTCAATGCACACTCAATCTCTCAATGTTTTCATTAAAAATAATTTGATAAGAGTGCTAATATCAGTTTTTAGAGAAATAAAGTAATAGTTGGTTTGATAGTTGCAATGGGTTTGAAACTGGTTTAGAGGCTAAAAAACAAGTTTGAACTTTTAAAAGAAATAAAACACAGAATGATACAATTTGAGACACTCGAAACGAACCCTCGAATTGCCATCTGACCGAGCATAGCGAAGTAATAATAACCTGGCACATATGGACAAAAAATCATATTCACACACTTGAGATTGTAATACAATTTATGAGTTCGCAAAGGGATTTTCGTTATAAACATGAGAATGCACTCAGTCGAAAACTCTTGTTGAAATTTGAACCAATTATTTTTCTGTCGACATGTATTTCTATACAGCGCATATAATATGAGAAGCTGTTCCAATGTTTGAGAGGAGCTCAAGTAGCAGTGTAACAAACCTTGTACATCGGTGAAATGTGAAAATTTTTTTCTCCTTCCCATCGACATCCTTATCTTATTGCTATTACTTGTGGAAATGTAAGAGTTCAGAGGAAAGTATTGACATTTACAATTAGACGTACAATGTACGATAGTTTGTAAAATCGTAAATTGATAACAGGTTTTGCAAAAGTTTTAGAATTCGTCTGCTTCTGGGCAACATTGCTGCCAAAGATGGAGAAAGAGAGAGAGAAAGAGAGAGGGAGAGCCTTTGAGGGCGCTCTGGAAACTTAAACTGTACCATAGTTGCTCGTCTGGAAGAGTTTCGTGGAAAGAACAATGGGTTGTTAAGATGGTAATTCCGCCACAAGTGCCGCACTTTCGCAAGATTGGACGTGAGAGAGCGGGAGAGAATTTGACGAAATTGCCGGAATTCATTGGGGTGTGCAGTCGGAGTTCAGAGATGGATGAGCTTATCCCTATTGCTAAAAGGCGAAATTGCAACACTGTCGTCGGTCGCTTGACACAGAGGTTGGCTGATAGATAGAGAAAGGCAGGCATCAGCGAAAAGTCCCGCGTGCTCAGCATACGGGTCGCTCTTGTATCGATTTTACATTTCGGAACTAATTCAATTTGAAATCTCCCCGAGCACAACTACAGGCGCACGGAGACGGAGGCAGCATTGGCGGTGGCGACGGCATGAGTACGTAAACGTCATGGTACATTAAAAGGCTAGGGTGCGGTTCTAAATTTATTATTTTGTGCGGACGAAGCACCATTCGCCGCCCATTTGGAACTGAGGGAGCATGTGTACGGCTGGCTGTCGCCGTGTTGGTGCGCCTGTGAACCTGCAAGGTGGTTGAGGGTTAACTACCCCTTGGCCCAATGTGAGACACACTACACACAGTATGTAAGCTGCGGGTGGGTTTTTTGGGGAGGGATGGAGAGACGAGAGCAAAGGGAACTTTTTCGTGTGGCTGCTGGTGTGTGGATTTTTGCATTGAATGTGTGTTTGGAATGAAAATTAAAAACAAACAAAAGTTTGATCATGACGACGAGCAGAACCAATAAGTAATTTAGCAAAGAGAGCGAGAGATGTTCTGCCCAGAGCCTCTGTGTCCCATGGAGTTTGTACAGCGCGACTGAAATTCACCATTGGATGGCCATTCTAGATAGTATCCATGATGTGTATTCCGTAAAGTCTGGTTCGACCGGTCCATTTTGTAAGTCTGAGAGCGATGGCTCGTAATTGGATGTTTATGGATGAGTGAATGGTATAAAATTTAAAAGTTTTTCAGTGAAATAAATCGATTATGATCCATAGGATGGTCGGAATTGTATGTGGAGCAAATGATATTAAGTTCTTCCTGAAATCGATTTGGGGCGGTTTGGAATTGCAGATGGATTCAGTGGTGTTTGATGTCTATCAATTCTGAATTTCATGGATTTCTTTCTTGGCGCTCGGGTTAGCGCTGTGGTGTTGTATAGCATTCCTTTCGAAGAAGTTGTATGTCTCTTCCTGATATCGTGAGCCAAGTGACCTACAAGGCGAGTTTTCGGTCTGAAAATTTTTCAAAATGCCTCTTGTGTTAAATAATGCCGAGGCACAGACAGAGAGTGTACAGAGCAACTTTGGTAACGATTGAGACATTCCTTTTCCTCATACGCACGATTATATTTTTGCTTAAAATGTAAAATCTGAATTTCAAATGCACTTGAAGTAACAGTTTTGTGACGGCATTTCTTTGGCATGATGAGAATCTGAAAATGTTCGAGACTTTCGCTTCTTATCTCATTGGTGTGTCTCAAGATATATGACATGATATTGTTGACACGAGCCAAAGAGAGTCTCTCTGTGCACGGACTTGTAAGGTGGAAAACTGTAAAGTGTATTCATTTTGGCTGGCGGCAGCGGAGCAGTATTGAAGTGGCTATAATGGGTAAATTTTCATGGGTTTCAGTTGGCAAAATGGGGACGAATGGATTAGTTTGCCGTGTGTATGGATTTCCTTGAGCGCAATGTTCATTGGCTATATCAGCTAATAAAACACATGCAGTATAATTTTGCAGAGTGATAAGGGAAATTATGCCTCGGCGGTGGAACTGCGTGCGGCTATTATTGCCATCGTCCAACTACCTCTAATCCGTACGAATAGCACGGCAAATTGTCCCACAATATATTCGTGTTTGGTATTAAATACTATAAACAAGTTTCTGTGAGTTTATAAATGAAAGAAAACATATGATTTCTATGTACACACCACACATTTTATATAACTGATGACGACGGAACTCATGTACATTTTCTGTATTGTATATATCGGTATATATTTTCGCATTCTATATACAATGGCACGGTGTACTCAACTCGGCTGGTATGCTGTTTGTTGTTGTTGTTGTCGGGTGTCTAAACGGCACAAGAAAGTATATAAATGTTTTCAAGGACGGCATTCGATTCATAAACAGAAACTCGACAATATAGCAAACAATGGGAGCACAGGGTGGATATTTAAATTGAATTTTAATTGTACCATCAGCCTCTCACACCGCCAGAAAAGTGATGTATTTTGAGGAGCAATATATTTATTTCCCACCGAGAATATTTTCGTGAGTGCGCGGAGTCATAAGGTAAATGGGATCAAAGACCCCATGTTTATGTACCGCACATACCTCTTGTGGTGGAAGAATATGTGAGAAACGAGAGTGATAAGGCTGGGACAGAGTGAGACAGAGATGGAAAAGTCTTGTAGAATAATTCAAATGAACGAACCTCAATGGTTTCAATGTTTCATAATTCATGGAATACACTGTTACCAGATGAACTCTCATCATTATTATACATATGGAGGGAGAAAACGACAGAGAGAGAGAGAGCGTGTTAGGTATTTACCTGGGTGAAATGTGTACATGACGAATCTATGTATGAAATACCATGTGAATGATGCTAAAGTGAGAATATAATATGTAGGTATTTTCATGCAATACGATGACGGCATGCTCTTATGTTTTGTAATTGTTTCTATTTAGAGGAAGTTTATTCCATTTGTTGCTATTCGAATTGATGTTATTAAAAGTGAAATGATTATACGTACAATTGTAAATTTGTCCATGTACCAATTCAGTTCCGTACATAATTTCATTGTGAACAAAATGAGGCCGTTTGTATGTCAATAAAGTAAATTAATTTTACACAATTTCCATTCAATATTTTGGGAAAATCTGATTTTCCCTGATTGCACTCCATTATCAACTATTTAGAATTGTCCCACGGGAGGATTTAAGCTGAAAACATCAATAACAATAATTGTATTTCATACAAAGTGTTGTGCAATATGTTTCCATTATCAAAGTGTGCTCACGCCTGTGTGCAACATATTTAGGAATGCATAGTTTTACAAACGATCTAATGAATATTTAGGAGGGAGAGAGAAAAAATCCTGCAAATTGGTGTTATTTTTGCAAAATCACATTGCATTTCCAATTAGACAAACATGCGTTTCGTTGAAAATATGCAGCAATGTTGAGGAAGATTGTGTAGTGATTTAACAGTACATATGAACTAATTATGTTGATGTTAAGCTAAAAGCGAAAAAGAAACAGCTTGAAATACTTTCTGTTTCAATAATTTCAATAATTTGTTGTTTTTTCTGGGGAGAAAGAAAAAAAAAGAACGAGGCGAAACAGAGATGATTGTATAATACTTCACAGCATTACCGACCAATTCACTTCAAATTTCTACCTTGCATGAGAACAGAAATAATTTGAGAAGGTTCCATGGGAGACCAACCGGCAAGAGAGCTGCAAATGCATTCGGCGTTACTTCACAAAATATATTTGAAGTACAATCACTGCGCGGTGCACAGTATGGTTTTGTTTTGGTGGTGAATTGATTAAAGGTGGTGCTGGTTGAGGGCTTGAGAGTGAGTAAGAGAGGAGAAAAGAAAGAAATAAGGCACGGCGAGTAGGCATATAATGGGTATAATACACTCTTCTGAAATCTAAATCTGAAAATCGTGCGTGAGATCTCACAAAGATTTGAGAACGACTGAATTTTAATGCGTTTTTGCGAGTATATTTGTAAGAGAGTGGCTTTTTTTTCGCGAAAATTACCTCAATCTTTATAAATTACAAATGATTGAACAAAAGGCAGGGAGAATTTTTTCGTTTTCTCTCTTCTCGCTCTCGCGCGCCCCTTTTGCACTTTTGAGGAGTTTTGTGTTCTTTTTCCTTGATAATATAATGGTGCCGAATGAGGATGATTGCGGCATCGGAATAATGTCTGGAATATGAGATATACTTTTTTATAATCACAAAATTACCAGTAGATTACGTGGCGGCACCCATGATCCCTCATCCCGCAGCTATGATTGACGATGTGTTGCTTTTTTCACCACCACTTGCAGGTTTCCACTTGAGCGGAACTGTCTGGACTTACCCACCGAACCCAAATGACGGATCCAGTGGTGGTCAATCAACCACCGGCTCGCAGGTCGGTGGTATCATGGGTCATCCGCAGCAACCGCCGCATCACCAGCAGGCGCTGCGCTTACCTGTCGATCGGGACGGCGGTTCCCACAATGGGGCCGGAGGTGGAGCCGCCGGTGGCGTGAGTTACTCCATGGAGGAGAATAAGAAATACAAAGTCTCCGTTAGCTTTGACAGGTAAGCAAATCCCCTGGCTAATTTCCTATTCATTGGAAATTGCCTCCCGAAGCATGGCTGCATTGAGACAATATTATTCACCTTTCTTGCTCTCGGCGACTCTTTGGAAATTTCAGTCTCGTCCACCATCTGATTGCACGAGACAGGCAACAGTCGCTCGGGTTTTTTTTTATTCTCCTCTCGCTCCTTCCTTGCAACCTCTTACTTTGTGGCAACATCAACATTGAGAAGCTCTCTTGGGCAATTTACAGAAGCGTCATTGATTCAGTTTTTCCGAGCTGCTAAAAATTGCAGAGATTGTCGCGACAATTAATAATAATTGATTCGCAACACGATCCTAGGCCACTACTAACATGACACTGTGGTGTTCTCTATTCTCCGCACAGATGCAAAATCACATCAGTAACCTGCAGCTGTGACACAAAAGACATCTTCTGGTGCCATCACGTAGTTGCGTTGTCGCTGTACCGGATTCGATTTGCTGAGACAGTTAAACTGCGAGTTCCCATATCGGGTAAGTCATTTTGCTCAAGAGATACACAATATCCTCCACTCTGTGCATGTGCCTTTTAAATACCACTCAGCAGTGATCTGTCGTGCAACTTCTTGAGGTCTTTTGGAGTGCATAAATAATATTGTCTTGCTGATGAAAAAGGCTGAGTGAATGTTGTGTGTGCTAATAAGTATCATTGAAATTCAAAATTATACTACAGTTGTAGTTTAGAGAGGGAATTTATAAGCACTGGCTGTAAATCATCAATGGCCAAATTTGTCGCTCAACTCAGGGAGTTTCTTCCGGGATTGACATTGTCTTCTGACCGCAAATACACACTTTATGAGAATGACAGAGTGAAGGGAGTTTAATGGAAAATTCACGGAAAGAGACATTATCTCATTTTCCTTGCTTTATACTTTCTCATTCAGAGAATGGGGATCAATTTTGCGTAGGTGGTGGATCATTTTCTCGTCTCTTCATTGTGGCGATTTTAGCAGGAAAGCCTTGAAATTTTAATTACATTGCAAATTAAATTGAATCATTTTAACATCATTTAGCGTTCGCGGGAGATGTCGAAAAGCCATAGTGTTATCATATCTCCTGTGCTGTGTGTGTGCCATGGAGAAAAATTAAATCATAATCATGTTTGCTTTCACACCCAAGAATAATATTTCTGGGCTGTTCGGGGAATAGGAAAAAAGACACAGTGAGAGAGACTGCGGAGAGCGCATGTCGAACTTTTGTGTACAATGCACGTTTGTGGGGAGAACAAATTGAATGAAATCAAATTACATGCCAGACATCGCGCTCCATAGTAGATTTCGCAGCAAAGTGATAGGATATCGGGAAATTTTTGGACAGAAAAAATATGTGTGGATGATGTCAGGGTGTGATAAATTCTTTAGTAGGTATCTCTCTTCTGGAACTGATGGCGCTGTGAGGCTCTGCTGGTGGGAAATGAGGGGGTGGAAAGAAATGGGAATAGTTTGGAGATAATGTGAGACATTTAAGGGATTATTGTGTAGGTGTACAGTTGAAATATTTCCTCTCATTTCACTCTTTTTTTGCCTCAATCACATGGGGGAAGTGATAAGTTCGCCAAGCATGTTTTATTGTTTGTAATTCGACACGTATTGATAAAATTTGTGCAGAGCAGAGAGTGGCCAGTGAGAAATTGATTTCTGTGTGACACATTTTGCCTATGATCAATTAATTGTAGATTAGGCGGCAAAAATTATTTCTCAATTAGCTACACTGACGCCTGGCGTTGAAGTGAATTCACAGAGAGAGAGTGTGTGCGGTGTGGCTGGCACACAGGAATGGAAATGACAAACAACTCACTCTCATCTGGGTGAGTTTGCCTGAAGGGAATGACTTGTATATGGATGGGTCTCGAATGGTTTGTACAGCACAGGCACATCCGGTTGTCCCTTGCAATCGCACGGGTGCGGAAATGTGGAGCTTTCTCTCTTTCACCACACGGATGCCAGTTGGTGAGAGAGCGAAGTGAGTTTTGATGGCTGGGCTGCTGCTGAGTGGGTGGCGTTTAAATGGTGGGTGAGGCAAGAGAGGCAGCTTCACACCCGGTGTGCGCTTTAAAGCCGACCACCCCGGACCCAGGCAAATGGGGTGGCATTTGAAACTCTACTGACATTAACCCGGGATCCACCAGTGGCAGATTTAATGTGAACGGTTCCCCTTTAAGAGACGGCGCGCTGCTGCTGCTGCCAACATGCAGCAAAGCAGGGAAGCGATTAAATTGTGTGTATTTTCAGTGGCTGGGTTTTGGGGCTTTGTGCCCGTGGGGTGTGGGTGTTTAAAGCTTTTTGTATACAGCATGTCGAAAGTATATACTATGTGTTGAAATTTTCTGATTTTCAATTTCCACTTGATTCACCAGCACCGCAGGAAATATTGCAATTTATTGATTGGACCATGTTGACAAGATGTTGACACGGATTTTACACTGTGATCTCTCTCCCCAACCAATTGATCGGAATGGGGGTGAGTTTGCCGTGGAACTGGGGCTCGCAGCATTCCCAATTGTTGTTCTTTAGCACGTGCACCACACTAAAATAAATTTATTATTCATTTTAATGAGGATATCCACCAACTGTTGGGAATTTCCCTTCCTCCCCCAGCACATTATTCCCATGCACACACACACACATAGTCCAAGAAATGGTGGCGGAGAGCCCTCAAGGGATGGAGGATCTTTTTATGTCTTCCTGCGCGCAAGAGGAGTGAAAAAAGGCAGTATTTGTATCCTGGATAGGGAAGTGGTGCAAAATGAAATTACTATGCAATTGCACCCCGCTTTCCTTCTCAAGTTGGAACTATTATTTTATGCATACACATCAAGTGCGGGCTTCAAGAGAGATAGAGAGGGTCTCTTTCTATTCCCAACAAAGCCACATGAATTTGAACCCTTTGCTCTACAGTTTCCGTACAGTATTTCTTCACATTTTTCCACTCTATCCCAAGAGTGCGAAATTAAATGCATCTCACATGTGTGGCTTATTGTTATAAAAGGGGGCAGAAATTATATGGCGAGAGCACAGTTTAAATTTCTAACAAGTATGAGGATTTAATTTGAATTCATGTCGGTCTCCGTGGATTCAGAGGGAGAGAGCGGCATTTGACATTTTTTGCGCCTCTTTCATTAACCTTCTAGCATGAGTTCCGACAGAGAATTTCATGCAGAAGTTCTCCCTCTGGCGCCGGAGATGCTGTGTTCCTGGGATTGCTCAGTGTATCATTGTGATTTCAGCGGAGGCCGTTAATATTTAGATTGCACCAGCATAAATTAAGGTGGTGGCGAAAAGAGAAAGAGGAGAAAGAAGAGTTCTAAGTAATGCAGCTATTATGAAGAAATGTGAATAATGTAGTTGCGTTCATTCAATTATTCATGCCTTACATATTTTCCATGTGAGCAAGCATTTACATGTTGTATCTGAAAAAAGTGTAAATTGTTTCATTGCTCGTAGTTGGTAAATAATAATTAATATTCAATGTGCGCGTTTGGTGTCAAACCGTTTGTGCATAGTATGATTATTGCCAGCATGAAGATCAAGTACGGAGAAGAATTGTTTACTCTTTCTGTGTTTGAGATCCAAGGCTGAAATGAATCTCTTGCTCTGTAGTGTAGAATAAAACGGCATGGTATCTCAGAGATAATCTCATTTCTTCCTCATGAAAATAAGAAGTTATTCTCAGTGATGAGGAATATCTCTTTCCATCATTGAGTGTAGAATGATGGGAAGATTAATTTCAGCGGTGTGGTTTCTGATGAGGCTGAAATTCACTGTGTATTACACTTTTATCAGGTGTATAGCCAACTTACATTGAGAAAGTAATTTCAAGTCATGTTTCAATGGATTTGTGAACGGAAAGTCCAATTTATGCGCCTCGTACAGAGACTTGAGTGAAAATTATGGGTGGAATGATGCATAAGAAAGAGATGTTCTCGCTATGTAGCGTATACAGCAGTTGGTGCTTTATTGTGGCAAGAGACGGGGTATTTAGTGAGAATGAAATATGCGCCTAATTAATATTTGTAGCGAGAAATATTTTATATGATAATTAGTATGAAATAGCATATTAATTTTAATATTTATGTTGAAAGTTCACGCGAATGTCTAAGGGTGATACAATGTTGCCTATGTTTTTTTTCTGCTGTGCGAAGGAGTCATGATAATTTATAAAAGAAGAAAATTGACGAGAACAGAAGAGGAATGTTCTGGAGGAGGAACTGCGTATGTGAAGGCGTATCATTTGGCCCTATATCTCGTTGGATAACATTCAGTTTGATTTCCGAGTTAATTACAAATGAGCGAACTGTTTAGTTTTGAATACATTGCAATGTTAAATATACAGGTCGGGGTTAGAATTAGTTGTCGGGAGTTGTGATTGTCTGTTTCATTGTAATTTACAATAGTGTTTTGCCATTTAATTTTGTTCATTGTACCTGCACACGACGTTACATACGAATGCCTTGCACGTAAAATGTTAAATTGTTCCTTCTCGTCCTCCAAATCAGACTGATTTCATGTTCATGTGGCAAAAAGATGTGTTTGTTTTTTTTCTCTGCCATCTCGCCGGAAAGACAATATTTGGATATATACAATTGCAAAAGTGACTGCGTGTAGTACAATTTCGGTGGTTACCAAATGCCATTTATCGCTTTGAAGAACAATTTCCAAAGAGACTTGGGGCGCCAAGGTTACGTCAGTGTGGGTTTTTGCGTACAATCGTCCATTTATCGCTAATCGTTTAGATTTTCGGATTACAAACTCGCTCATAGTGGTTTATTTGAGGCAATAAAGAACAGGAAATGCCACAAATTAGAGCCAAATAATACCTTGTAGTCCTCTGTAGATGACTATAGTCCACAAATATTTTATAGCTTAGGTGGATTTAAATTATACACGCCACAAGATAGGTGACTTGCCACCTGCAGTTCGAAGGAATAGACATTTTTCATGTATTTTTTTGTTAGACAATTTCGCTGAAATATGAGGAATATAGATGGAGAAGCATTTTCATATGGATTTAAATTAATTGCACAGCTCTAGTTGTTTTGGGGATGTAGAAATGAGGAAAAAGAGTGGAACGACAATATAGTTAATGGGCATGTTTTTTATTGGCTGATGTTGTTAAATTAAAATTCTTCAATTGATATAAATTCTGAGCACTGAACATAATATTTTCTCTCCTTCGTGTCAGAGGCAGTCAATCATATCACAGAGCGTTGCTATTTATTCACTCTTTTTATCGGTAATTTATTTTGTGGGGATGTCGTCATGTACACACACACTTGACGTATTGATTCGAATAGGGGGGCGGCGGCGCGGCGTGGCGGTAGAATAAAGAGAGCGACGAGCAAATGATATTTCCAGTTGGAGTTTTATGGGACGAAACGCATTGTCAGTGACTTAACATATAAATTGCATGAAATCAGTCAAATGTCATAAGCAAATGTTTTTCCAATAACAATAATTCTCCCTGCGGAGTTATTCCATCCATGTCATCAGTGTCCAGGGGAATAAATTGAATGTTGATGAATTGTATTGAGAACAATAACAACTAATTCACAAACTATTCTAACATTTGTAATGATGCAAATTAGCGCTTGTATCTTGATTGAATGAGGCATATAGTTGTGTACAACAGTCTGTCTGTGCGTTACGTATGCTAATGCAAATTATTTTGCCCATTGCAGAGACCCTGCTGCAGATGAATAGGCAACAACTACAGAAATTTGTACAGTACTTAATATCTGCCCATCATACTGAAGTACTGCCAACTGCCCAGCAATTAGCCGATGAAATTTTGCAGCAAAAGTCAGGTAAGAGGCCCTATATTTCTTCTCTCCTTATTTCTCAGGTTTAATGTGCTGTTTGGCTTTGAGAACAATTCGTTCTGTTGGCGTGGAGTATGGGCATATAAAAAAATATAATGAATGTGGGTTATTACGGGTGAAATGTAATTTTTCAATATACTGTGTGAAGAAAAGGTGTAATTGAATGCGATAAATTTTCAAGTGTGTCATTTGCGGGATGCGGGAAATAGGTTGGCGGGAGAGGGAGGGGAGACGAGGCGACTGACCACTAATATAGGGTGTTTTATTTGCCCCATTACCTCTTATATATTCGTAGAAATAAATGCAATTTGTGGAGCTCCCGATCCGACAGCAGGTGCAGCGACAGACGATGACCACTCGTGGCATCTCGATGAGATTCAGGTCTGCGAGGCGGTGAAGAGCTACCTGGGCTCCGGGAGCTACTATAATGGCAACAAGCAACTGAATTCACTGTTCGCGAAGGTGAGGGAGATGCTGAGAGCGCAGGACTCTAATGGGGCGCGAATGCTCACGCTGATCACTGAGCAATTTCTCAATGATCCACGGCTGCTGCTGTGGAAGAGCCATGGCACGCCGATGACGGAGAAGTGTCGACAGCTGTGGGATCAATTGGGCGCTCTGTGGGTGTGCATCGTGCTGAATCCGCGGGCGACGCAGATGGAGAAGTGCCACTGGAAGTCGCTGCTGGAGAAGTGGTCGCGCAGCGAAGTGTGTCCACAGGAGGATCCCGACTTCAGACCTCCTGGACGTGAGAACTATCGCGAGAGATCACACAGGGAGCGTGAGCGTGATCGTAATCGCTTCTTCAGGGAGAACAACATACGGAACATGATTTACCAGTATCAACAAAATATGCAAAATGATCAGCAGCAACAGCCACCCGCTCATGGTAATCGCAATGGTGTGAACAACTTCAATGATGAGAACTATGATAGCTCAGAATCCGATTCAGACTCCGATGTGGACATGGATGAGAACAATGATGGGGACATTCGAGATATTCCGCCGGTGAATCACGAGGAAAATGCCAATGCCAATGGGATAAATGAGAACAATGATGATATCCTTCTGCCGCCAAATATAAATGACAATAATTCTGTAAATAACGAAGGGGACGAGGATGAGGCGGGCCACAGTCGGCGCCACCACAAGAGCATCCTCAAAAGGATCGACTACATCGACAGGAGCAATGATAACAGGAGTGATGATGATGACAATGCCTGTCTGCCGGGCGAGGAGAACGACAATCGACCTGAAGATCGCATCGATCACATCGACGGTAATTCCAACGACCAGTGCTTCGATGACAACAGTCGTGGGAACTTTGACCTAGCCATTCCCGGGTGCAGTGGCATCAATGTGAACGTGGACATTCCGCCACCGCTGCCGGATAACGATGAGAGCTCACGTGAGAGCATGGATGTGGACGACATTCCCGATGCCACACTGAGGAAGTTTGAGTTGAATCTAGAGGAGATGGGCAGCAAGGAGCCGAGGAGTCCACAGCCGGGCCCTAGTAGGGATCTGGATGTGAACTTCTTCGCCGATGTGTACATGAGCGACACGGCCAACGACACAAATTGTCCCAGCAACGTGAAGGGATGCAAATGCCAGTCTTTCGAGTCTAAGGACACGAGCGACGCGATATGCGAGAAGGAGAAGAAGTCGAGTGCAGACGAGAGCCACGAGGCGGATGACAAGATTGACGAATTCCCGCCTGGGTGTCCGGATGAGGCCGCCGGGGAGGCTTCTGAGCGGAAGATGAGGAACTGTGATAGCAAGATAGGTGAAAATATGTGCTCAGCGCGCAAAATACCGACTGATTTTATTGTTACTGATTCCACCGATGAGGAGAACAAGTGTAGCGGCAAGTGTGTTAATAGCCACAATAGATTAGATGATGAGCCATCCAGCTCGAAGGCGATGATGCCTACGGAGAAGTGTGACTATTGCAAGAAGCAGGAGGCCCTGCTGGCGAAGAACTGCGAGTGCATCATGAATCAACTTGACCATGTGAATGGGCACTCGTCGAAGATGGTGATCGAGCTGTCGAAGATTGGGTGCGACAAGTGCAAGGGTCAGCCCGTGGACGAGGAGTCGCACAAGGTGCTGCCTGAGATCGAGGCGGAAGACAAAGTGGAGGATGTATCGGAGAAGCGTGACCAGCACGAAATGGATAATGCAGCGCCAATTCGCGATGCCATCAGTGGTGATTTGAATAATGTGACAAATGGCATGAACGGCGTTGCCCAAGGACGGGGCATCATTCGCGGTCGTGAGAATGGTCAGGAGGGTGAAGTGGGACGGCCTAATAAGAAATTGAAGCTCAACAATGGCAGTGCAGCAAATCGCAACAAGACACCGCGGACAATTTTCCACAAGGCTCTCGATGCGGTTAGCATGTCGTGGGACAATCAGCATCTGAAGAACATCCTCGCCAGTGATTCCTACAGTCTGTCCAGCACGAACTCCGTTCAGATTGCCGGCAGCAGCAAGTCGGCGCAGGCCAACAGCACCAGCGCCAAGTCCAATTTTAACTCTCTGGGTCAGCCACTGTGGCACGAGCCGCTGGCCATGTGTGCCGCCCGAGTGGACTCACTGCGCTCCCACGGGCACACAGAAGCGGCTCTGAGGTTGTCTGTGAGCGTGGTGCGGACGATGAAGCAGGTGCAGATGGATGCTCAGAGTCTGTGGCACAAGCACCAAGCGTTTGTGGTGCAGCAGCAGCAACAGCAGAAGATGCAGAGCATCGCAAGTGCAGAGGAGCAGTCGAAGAGCGCCGGTGCGTGCTGTTGCAATTGTCCGGAGAAGAAGGACAAGCAAGCGTCGTCGTCTCAGGGAATGCTTCCGTCTGGTGTGTACCCGAAGACACCACGGGAGAACTACGTGATGTGCCGGTATGACTACATTGGGAATAACGGCAGGAACAGTCTTCCAGTGCAGGGATGCAAGAGATGCTTCTACTCGAGGAATGCCTGTGACTACGATGGAAAGATGAAGAGTCACGGCCATGGCTATGGGGGTTCCGGAGGTCACTTCGAACCCATGGGTGAGAAGCCGATGATGGGGGGACCATTTCACATGTTCCAGCAGCAGCATCATCAGCCCAACATGCCTGATCATGGTGGCGTAGCGAGGAACAATTTCATGGGCGGGAATCGCTTCATGGGCGGCGGAGGTGGAGGCAATGGCGGGTACTGCCACTCGTGGAACTCCCTGCTGCCCATGTCGTCGTGCCATGCGGAGGCTTGCGGATCTTCCTCGTCCCAGAGGCAGCAGCATCCGTCGCACGACTCCTTCGGCTCACGTCCGTTCTTCCACAAGTACGACATGGATGATATGCGCATGAGGAAGGCAGCCCCGGGCGGTCGGATGCCGGAAATTGATCCGAAATGGAAGGGAAAGTGCAAGTGTATAGAGCACAATGATTTACGGGGTCGTGACCTGGACATGCCACCCTATATGGATATTGAGGCCAGGGTGGGTCACTCGGGACCCTCGTTCCGGGGTGGGGACAACCGCGCGCCACCGGAAGGTGTGGCGGGACCGCCGCCGCCGCCCCCGCAGGTCCAGCAGCCGCCCCCGCATCGGATGATGGGGTGCGCGGAGCACCAGAAGAATGAGTGCTGCATAAAGAATTTCTGCTGCAAAATGACACAGGCGGGAAAAATGTCCATGAAATCATCGGCTGCCGTGGCGTCGTGTCGCACATGTATTATGGAGCACTCACTATTGAATAATAAATGCGATTGTCGCAACGTGACGCGACATAATTCCAATTTCCCATTCCCGTACCGCCATCCAGCAGATGTGGCCCCGTCAGGGAGCATATTCTTCGGCAGACAGCAGTTCCACAGCCATCCGCAACCGCCGACCTCGGCGGACGGCCACCACCACCATCCGCAGCAGTTGGATGTGAGCCATCACCATCATCACTCCATGTGCGGCCCCCCGCAAGCCGTGTTCGGCGGAAGTCACGGGTGCGGCGATTTCAAATGCGGCGCCAACATTCACAAGTCCCATGCACTTGGCAAAGTCAATCCGGCCAGCATCGTCAATTATGGGGCGTCAACATCCAAGCAAATGCCCAGTGCAACGGCCACCAGTGGAAGTTCATCGAGCGCCGTCAATAGTATTGTGCCAGCGCCATCGCAGCCACCGGTTGGCCTCCTCACGGACGTGGTGCGCAACAAGAAGGCCACTTGCGTGTCCAACTGTCTCGATTGCACAATTGGATGTGAAGGTGACTATTAACTTTGAACTCTCCTTCTGTCCCAATGTCGCGCTGAGTGATAACCGCGCCTGTCTTTCTTTCTCTCGCCCACAGTGGAGTTCCCCTTGGACGCCGTGGCGTGCATCTTCGACTGCCTGACCGAGGCCTGCATCATTCCGGATCGCAATCATGGGCCGGATATGGGGCGATTGACTTTCGACAGTATCAACGCGGCCGCCGAGGATGGGAGCATTCTGTCGCCGCAGTATCAGCACATTTATGTGCCGAATGCCACTGATAAATACGAAACTTATCTCACGCTGGCATTCGAGGCGGCCGTATTGGCACTGGGCAAGCAGAGAATTATGCCGCAAGGTCTCTATTCGCAACATGTAATTTGCAAGCAACAGGATCAGCTCATTGCACGGCTGCAGCATATTGATTTGGACCGATTGCTCGTGGAGATACTCAAAAATTGTGCCATCCAGATGATGGATGGTGGGCCGACGAGTGGATTTGGTGAGTTTAATGCTGCCTTTTCTGCAATTAATCAATTTAGCGACTTTCCCATCTTGCCGTCAAACAATCCACGCGCAAAATACACACGCACACACTTGGCCACAGTTTAATTTCATTGCAATATTTAAATCACTTGCAAGTGCGCAGCGACTGCATATAAAAGTTGCTTGCAATGAAAGAAGAAGCATAACTTATGTTAGATGGTAATTTTATGAAAGCATGCACACAACACTTACCCGTAAATAATATTGATTATTTAGATTTTATCCGCAGTGTAATGACTTTTCGCTTTTCAAGTGAAATTATTTTATTCACGTAACACTGAAGTCAATCACAGCGCTCAGCGTGCCTGAGAGAGGCAATAATTCAAACTCATTTCAATACACATAAACTCTCCTTAATGCCTTTTTGTCCTGGGAATCAATATGTGTGCCAATAAATCAATCATCTGAGAAATTGTGGCAGAAATGTGAGAATTTGGAATTTAGTCATTTTGTATTGATGCGTCTATTTGGCATAAGTGGGATTTGACGAACAAGTAACTTGCATTTCTGGATTTCTCTCCATCATAAATTGCAATTGCAGATTTATATAAATGTTTTCTGGGCTTCTAGCTAAAGCGCTGTGCACAATTTCATATTTCAGGTGTGACAATTCACCCAGAATCTGTGCCGATGCACACATTGGCGCGCTTCTTGTTCACGTCGCTGCTGAATTACTACCCGGATTTGGCGTTCCAAGTGGGCCTCAGAGCCATGCGACTGCCAGTGCTGGAGGACGCCGAGGAGAGGGGCGTGAACGAGGGGAGCGCGGATGTGGAGAACAGACGCGATGGCTTTGTCTTGTCGCGCTATCCGCGCTGGTGGACACTGGGTCATCTCGAGACGCAGCAGTGTTCACTCAGTTCAGCTATGCTGAGCGCCGCGAAGGCTGAACCGGCCCGTCTGGCGGGCGTGCTGGAGAGTGCCAGGAGGAACATTCACAGTTCGTCACATCTCTTTAAGGTGAAATATGACCACATGATCTCGAGTGTTTGTGTGCACTGTGCTGACAAAGGCGCGTCTGATTCTCTCTTGCAGCTGGCCCAAGACGCCTTTCGCTATGCCACAACAGATGCGAGCTCCAGGAGTCAAATACTGCTCGGAGTGGCATTTGAGTTGGGCCTCCAGGTGATGCGGATGACGCTGACTTGCCTGAATTGGCGTCGGCGGGAGATGGTCAGGTGGCTCGTCACTTGCGCCACGCACTTGGGCTTGGACGCTCTCATTTCAATTATGCAAAATTGGTACCAGCTGTTCACGCCGACGGAAGCCACAGGACCTGTTGCCACCACTATAATGTCGCACTCCACTATAATGCGCCTCAATCTAAATCTACGGGTAATTATTATTCTTTGCCTCGGGTCACTCTTGGGTGCTTCTCGAATTCTCAGTGACATTCTCCTAATTGACCGCTCTCACTCTCCTCTCTCTCTCTGTCTGTCTGTCTCTAGCAACAAGAGGAGTTGTCCAGCTGTGCCAGAACTCTGGCTCTCCAGTGCGCCACGAAAGACCCGCCGAATTGTGCTCTCAATGCACTCACATTGACTGAAAATGACCCCATGGCATTTGAGGCTGCTTATCAGATTGTGATTGACGCCGCATCTCACATCATGACCTCAAGTCAGCTTTTCACAATCGCGAGGTAAATATACACACAGGCCATTGTTTGCCTATTGAGAAATGCAGCGCTGAATCGCTCGCCCCTTTCGTTGCAGATATATGGAGCACCGTGGCTATCCGATGCGCTCGTACAAGCTGGGCATTTTGGCTATGAAGAATGTCCATTTGGCCTACAATCAGGACACCCATCCGGCCATCAATGATATCCATTGGGCGTGTGCTCTGTCGCATTCACTGGGAAAGGCCGAGTTGGCAAATATGATTCCGCTGGTCATCAAGAATGTGCAGTGCGCCACAGTTCTCTCGGACATTCTCAGGCGATGCAGTGTTCCCACGCCAGGGATAACGCATTTCAATTCGCACCATCGCGGTAAGTCGAGAGCGGAAATCGGATTGGATTCGAATACGCAATATTTGCCTGATAAGAGTATCTCTGCTTACCGACTCTTCAGACACACGATGACGAGGAACTTGTTTATATTGATATTTTTTTTCAAATAACGAAACGTGCTGGCGCTTGAGTTGCAAATATTGAAATCTTGACTTTGCCAATTTGCTTTGAAGTCCTGCTCAGTGAAGAATCACGACTAAATCTCCTTTCGTTTCCCTTTAACAGGCAACAACATGAGGCCAGTGCAGAAGCTGAGCTACGATCGGGCTCCGCTGAGGCAATTGCTGGAGGCTGCTGTCGCTGCGTATGTTAATACCACACACTCAAGGTACGGCGTGGGGTTGAGAGAGTGTCAATATCAGATAAATGTGGCATTATCAATTATCGCCCTAATTACTGTGTTTGCACGCCCTTTTCACAGATTGTCACACATCTCTCCGCGTCACTACGGAGACTTTATCGATTTCCTGAGCAAGGCGAGAGACACTTTCATCCTTGCACGAGACGGTCCGGCACATTTCTCGCGACTGATTGAGAACATCACCGTGGCGTACAAGGGGAAGAAGAAGCTGGTGCGACAAGTGCGTCAGAGATTTCAGTTTGTATGAAAGCGATTAATGGATTCTCGGTGAAATTAATCACGCGACATAATAGCGAAAGGAGGAGAGCATGGGATTATTAAAGGAAAATTGTTCTTCTGGCAAAGAGAAGCAAAAGAAAAACACAAGTAATAATATTTGACAATTATTTAGTGAGATATGACAAGAGGAGGAATTACTCAAAAATTTCAGAATAGCTAGAAATTGTATAAAAAAAAAAGAGGAATGAAAATCAAATAATGTAAATTGTAGGGAAATGTGAGGATTTATTTCACAGAGAATTAATCATCAACGCATGATGAACATTAGATTTTGCCCCCATGAGTGGGAATTTGTTAGTTTCTTTTTAGTTCTCATGAAATATTGCCACAATTATTTGTCTTTCTTCATATTTTTATTACTGTGATCATTTTATTTAATTATACAATATTTATATATTTTGAGAATTTATACGACAATTAAATGTTCAATTTGAAATGGATTATTTTCTTTCCCAGCGTCGAAAGGAGAATAATATTGAATAGGAATATAGCTAAAGAGATGTGGATGAGCAGAAAGAGAAGAGGACAATAGGAGAATTAAAAAATATTTTTTAGTTGGATACATTTAGGGAAGTTCTTTTTCTATTCTCTGTAAGCGTAAAAGAAAATCATGCCAATTATGATTACAATGTTTGTATAAATATATCTTCGTGATGGTAGGAGAAATTCTGCAGAGTTAGTCACAAATATCTTCTCTTAATTTGTTAAGCAATTCTTTTTTATATCAGACTGTCGAGCATTTAATTATGAAAAGGAAGAAATTACATGCAAAATTACACTATCCCATCCTTCTATTGATAGAACGTCTAGGTAAGAAATGATCTCAATATTTTACGGTGAAAATGAGAGTTGATCAACTTCAAAATCGTCTCTTATTTTATGCTAAAACACTGTATACAAGACTTTCGTTGTAGTTTTAGTTCTTTTTATCAATCTCTCTTTTGCAGTTTATTTGTTTAACCTCTTTGAGTTTCATCTGTTACGACATTGGTATTTATTTCCCATTTGTTTCATTTTATGTTCAGTTTTATCTGAAAAAAACACCTAATTGACTGTCTAGAAATTTATTTACAGAAAAATTCTCCTTATGATTTCATTGTAAAATTACTGCCAAATATATGGATAAACATTGCATCTGATACAAAGGATGATGATAAAGAAAAACAACAATATATAAAATATCAAATAATAAGCAAGATTACTAGAGTTGTAAGAAGGAACTTGTGCCAGTATTTCATACATATTAAATAATGATTAAATTATTGATGAATAAATTGTATTGTCTCTTGCTGAATTACAATTACCTATTTATAATTATATATGAAAAGGTATCGAAAGAAAATAGCTTAATCAATATGTATTAAGCTTGAATAACACTATGTAATCTCAGGATAAATGAATAATTCCAAATAATAAACAAATTAGAAGAGATTCTCTGTGTGTCTTCCCAATAAAATGTGATGAAGAAATATTCCAGTGAGTTAGAAATGCTCAAGGCGGAAATGCATTTTTATGAATGTCTCAGACCAACGGTTTTCGCAAATTTCTGTGATCAAATCTTCGAAAAGTGTTACCCGATGCGAGCATGCTGATCGTCGCGACCTCTGAACTCGGACATTGTGCACAAAACCCATGCTGTCAGAATTTTCCTTCTGAAGTGGGTTTGTTTTTGCCTGGAAAATAGTGATTTTTCTCGAGAAATATGAGGACGACACTAATCAGGACAGTGAAACTGGGTCCCTCGGTGAAGGAGCTGCGACTGCATCTATGTCAGACTGGACCGGAATCGAAGGGAGCACGGTTAGTCCCATGTTTTGCTTTTCGTAACCTGACCGATTACTGATTACACAATCTTCCTCTTCTCGATCTGCCCAGGGATTTTGTCCACACTCACTACACAAAGCTGAAGAAGGAGAATCCCAAGCTGCCCATCTTGGTTCGTGAGTGCAGCGGAGTACAGCCGCGACTATGGGCGAGATATGGTACTTATAATCCCTTCATTCACTCCCGGAATGCAGCATTAAGTGCCTTACTTCTTCCAGATCTAGGACAGGAATCATCTGTGGCTCTCACAAATCTCAAAGGAGACGATGTACTGAAGCAAGTGGAGGCACTGGGGCGCAAATAGTCAAAAGGATAGAGTCACCTAGTGTCCTGTAAATACTAGCGAGTTCGTCACGGAAAATATATTTGTTTCATCTCTATGAGGATTTACAATAGACGCATCTGGAGGGTTTTCAGGGGACATTGTACACTTCATGCGGGCAGAGGAGGTAAACCAAACTCCTCCAGTTTGACGTCCTCCAGTGATTTGAGGACAACTGTGGCGCCCTTCTTCTGCTCCTCAGTAATGTGCTCGTCAGGCACCATGACAACCTGCATTCCAGCTGATATGGCGGCCTTGACGCCATTGGGAGCGTCCTCGAAGACCAGACACTGTCGGAAGATGAGGAAGCATTAATGTGGTTAGAGACCATGAGGATTCCATGAGAAGACAAGTACTCACATCCTCTGGGCTCGGATTATCGGGGAATCTCTGTGCGGCGACGAGGAAAATGTCTGGAGAAGGCTTTCCACTCTTCACATCCGGATCTGAGGATCCCATGACTTTGTGGTGGAATAACTTGAAGAGCTCCAGATGCTTGGCTGTCTTCACTACCACTGATTCATTGCTGGAGCTGGTGGCTAGAGCGATGGGAATCTTATTGTCGTGCAAGTGTCTCACCAGCTTTTCAGCACCTGCAACGAAATTGGTTGTGTGAGTGATTCAGCTCGTCCTCGGCGACACGTGATGGGAGGAGTGTTGAGGGTGGTTTGAGGAGGATAAACACAGATGTACCTCGCAGGAGTGGCGCATTACCCAAGCGCTGATTTCCCATATCAGTAAATATCCGACGAAAGTCTCCCACCGAACAGGGCAATTTTAAATCATTGACTACAATTTCGGCGGTCTTTTGCTCAGTCGTGCCCAAGACCTTCAAACGCGTCTCGCGAGCGTATGTTTTCTTAAAACCTTTTGCAATATCGCCTATTATGCCCTCATAAATCCCTTCAGTATCTGTGGGAAGAGAGAAAGAGACACCGGTAAGATTGGTGGGATTGGAAATTACCTGGCATCTTGTTGCAATTCGCCATGACCACGCGGATCTTCTCCTGGGACAAGTCTATGTACTCCTGTGGGGTGAGGGGCAGGTTGTAGAACTCCACGAGGCGCTCGGCCACCTCCTCACGCTGGAGGCCCATCAGGGAGGTCTTCACTTCCCATGTGTACGTCTGACCGCCACCGTACTCGTCCAGGATGGCCTGGGTGACCTTGGTGTACAATGTCTCCGTGTCTGGGAGGGAGTTATAATTTGCAAATGCACGGCAGGAAGCGCACCCTTCCTACCCTCATCCGCACACTAATATTAAAGTGAGAATCTGTGCAAATTACCCAACAGCAATCCGTCCATGTCGAAGATTACGTGCGTGACCTTCCGGAGACCCATCTTGGAGCCCAGTTCACTGGAGACTAAGCGATTCATTTCACTGCGACTCCCCCTGAGACTGGGATAGGTTCACTAGTGATTGGTCGATTTCAGTCAATACAGAGCGAATTGCATAAGAATTTACACTCTCGCGTGCTCCTGGCACAACTACTCGCCTCTTTCGCACTGACACTGCACAGAAACTTCAATAGCCACACTCACAACCACACAAGTGCATTTCCCATGCAATTTCCAAGCTTTTCTGCCGAGAGGAAAATTCCCTGACCTTCGCAAGCGATTCTCACACCACGAAAAAAATTCCCCAAACACGCGGATTTTGACATATCGAGTCGCGCGCCGAAGGATTTCACACCGCCAGCGGCTGAACGACGCCGGCAGTTGCATTCGAAAGATCCGGGGACTCCGAGGATGAAAATTGCTCCTTTTTCTTCTAATATCATGATGCAAAATGCTTTATTTTTTTCCATTTTCATTTCACAGTAAACATAGGACATTTAAATAAACCTATAAATCTGGAACGAATGATATCTCAGTGTTATCATCCCCACTAAAAATCTCATTTCAAGTATTTTTAACACGTAATAGTTAAAAAAAATAAATGCAGAATAAAACTATTGAGTTGATAACAGAGAAAAAATTACAATGAAAAGTCCCTTTCTCCCCTCCTCACTGCCGTTCTGGCTGCGGAGAAAAACAGTACAGAGTGAAGTAATGTAGTAATTTAACTATGCATAATATCTCTTAAGTTTGATTTCGACACTTCCACTGATTTTCCTCCTTCCCTCACAATTTCATTGTTCCGCCCCTTCTTTTTTTTTCCTAAATATTCCTATTTAATCCTATTTACACTCCAGTGCATATTCCTCCTTATTGCAGACATGCTTGGATTTTTTCGATCCATTCCTGAGCCATATTTGCATCTAATGCATAGAAATTGTACGTTCTACGACTGGTTTTTAACTGAAAAAGGTGAAAATAGTTAAATCGTTAATGGAGCTTATCAGCAAACATATCGATTATATGGATGACAACCAATTTCAGTGATTGTAAAAGTTATTGCGCCTTTTATCGACGCTTTCGCAATGCTATTGGAACAATTCACTCACATTGCTTAACTCTTACAGGAAACACACTCTAATAAGAGATATTCAATACTCACGTCAAAGAATGCCTTCTCGTCGACCTTCTTTGTGCCCACGGCCGCCGATGCCGCCGCCTGAACGGACTGCACCTCAGCCAAGTCGATGAATCCCTTGCAGTTGGAGTCTTCCATTGCGTCATAGTAGCGCAATTGGTGCTTTATCGAGTCCAGAACGAACCATCGTTGCTTCCAGCTCTTCAGCAAAGCGCCCCTCTTGTACAAATGCCTGTACACAAGGGAAAACCGCGTTAGCACACAAGCTCAATCCCCTGAAAACCCCTTTGTTCCTACCCTTCGTGCGTTCTGTTCTCCGCCACATTGCTGCTGAACTGATCGTAAAAGTGCTGCAAGGAAGTCTGTCCGGCTGTCGCACTTGACGTGATGCTCCCATTGTCTCCCTGCGATCGCGTGAGTGTCTGCTGCACACCCTCCACCGCCTTGTACTTGGTGCAGTTCTTGGGCACAGTCTCGGCGCACTTCTCGTGATATGAGTTCCCGCAATCCATGCAGCGCAATTCCGTCCTCATGGGGCCCCACAGAAGCCCGTCGCAGTGATTGCAGTGCGACGGAGTCGTGTAGGCGTGCTTCTCAAATCGGTGGGGATGAGAGAACGTCTCCTGATGGTGGCCAGCCAAGCGTCCTCTCATCAGAATCTCAAGAGTTGACCTGCAACAGCAACCACAATTCATCGAAATATCCTTCGCAAAACACACTGCAAGAAGAAAAATCTCACCTCTTGTGCTGAAGACGTCCGTGAGACCTCACCAGGGCGCTGCTGAAGGACGCATGTCTCGTGAGTGAGTCCGAGTGTGGCAGCTCCAGCTTATCCCACACTTGCCGCCACTTCTGGGGCAGCAATCCCCTCTCCGCCTCCGCCTGCTTCAGCTCCTCCAAGAGTCTCGTGAATGCATCCGGATCCAGTTTGTCCAGACTGTCATATCCCACACTGATCACCTTCCTTTTGGGCTTCTTCCCCTCGGACGAGTCATTGTCCTCATCAATATTGTCACTGCCCACCAGTTCGGGATCGTACGGCGGCCCATGAGCAATCTCCTCGTCCACATAGAAGCCCCACAACTCCAGCATTGCCACGGAGCTCTGAGGTCTCAACACCTGACGATCGGGATCTGGCGTATAGGTGAAGTTGAAGAAGATCGGTGACTTGGCGTGCTGTCTCTCAACATAGTCAAAGACAGAGTGACCCAGTTTCTGCGTGGAAGAACTAGAATTCCTCAATCCACCCGGATAAATGCTGTCATCATCCGATCCCGTGCCCGTCTCCACAGCATGTTTGTGATGGGAATTGAGGGAGCCCCTCTTATCCTCCACCGTGGCGATGCCCAAATCAAATCTCTCCACTTCACAGTCAAACAGGAACGTGCGGAAGCGGCAAGAGACACTGTGATATGCCAAGAAGCGCAGGAAGAAGTCATTGAACTCAAAAGCCAGTGGGAATTGAGTCTGAATCTGATGAACGGCGTCCAGAAACTGCAGGAAAGTGGGAGCAAAAGGTGAGCCTGAACTGCTCTGTGGCTTCAAATTACTACGATGGCCAAAGCGATGTCCAAATGCCAGCCACTCCTTCTCAATCAGCACACGGAAGCCCTCAACTGTGCGATAATAGGGATCCAGGCAGAGTTGCGCCAGAGAGGACACTTGTGCCGTCACATCCCATCCATCCTCCAGCGCCAGAGTCACACTTGATCCCTGCATATCAATCAGATCCACCACAGCGCCGGACAGCTGTAGCAATCCCCGGATCTGCTGTAGCCAATCCGATTGCTCCAGGAGCTTGGCAAAGCTCTGATCCGGTTCCTGACTCACTGCCGATGGCAAGCACGCTCGCATGAGCTTCTTAAAGGCCAGACGTGTGTGTCTCACATCTGGATAATCCACTGGAATGAACTCGGCGTACATCTCTGAGAGCCTGGCCGATTTGCTCTGACTCTTCTCGCCCAGCATGTAAAGCGGCACTCGCTGGAAGTCGTACTGGTGATGAGATTCCCGTTCAGACAAGCCATCTGGAGTCCTCAGCTGACTCGGACCGGTCTTGAGACTTCCCCACTTGTTCACATTCTTCACCGCTCGTCCACTGAAGTTCCCAAAGCTCGATTTTGCCGTTTGAAAGACATTCGATGTGGATTTCCGTGCAATCTCCGGCGTCAGCGTGGACAGATTGTCTGTCCTCGCGCCAAAGTGATGATCCTCAGCGGCCAGAAGGAGTGAATTGATGGAGAGATTGCTGCTGGACATCATCTCCCACTGGTGATGCCTCGCGGGCGTCACTGTGTGCGGCAAGTTATCAATCACGGTGACAAAGTAGTGGTCCTGTTCCTGGAAAGCCGTGCTGTCTGTGGCGGCATTCGTTGAGCCCTGATGCGCCTTCAGCATCCCCATCACACCCTTGGCATGTGGCACAGATCCTCTCAGCAGGATGGCGCCATTCCGATGCCGCCACGTTGGCACGGGGATTCGTTGATTCTTGTAGCAGCGCGCAATGCAGCGCAGCTGATCATCGGAGATCCTGTGCGGTGAGACAAGAATGGCCGGATATGAGCGACAAAGGTTGTAACTGCAATTGACAGTGGTGATCCGATAGCCTGACATCGGATCGCTCAAGTACAGTCGTTCCCAGTCTTTCACATAGCTCCTCTCCTTGAGGCGCTCCACATCCTTCGCCGTCACTCGTGGCATCGCATCGGCATTATCATCCGAGGCATCGTCATCCTCATTATTCTCATGACCGTGATTCTCCTCAGAATCAATACCGGACAAGATGTACTTCCTCTTCGTGCCACCCTTTGGCTTGAAGCCCGCCTTCTTGGCCGTTCTCATGAGTGTCTTCTTGGCGAAGCCCTTCAGTGTGGCATTCTTCTCCTTCACTTTGTGCAACGGCGTCTGAATGTGCATTCCGTGAGAGGCGAAGGCAAATCTCCCAAACTCATGCTCCGGATGACGAATGCGGTGCAGAAGTTTGCGGAAACTCTCGATGCTCTCCACAGTCACCTCCTCGTCAAAGGCTACCTTGATGAGCTGAAATGTGCAGGAGCGCATCTGCAGTCCCTCAGGCAGATTCTGGTCAAGATGTGGCAAGTACAGGACTGAGATCCTCTTCTCCTTCGTCAGCGAAGACACTGGGAAAGCCCTCACAATACTCTGCTCACACGCCAGCTGATCACAAGGCGATCCCTTGAACACCACGCGATAGTTGGTGAGGAAGAGCGCTCCCTCAGCTGGCAAGAGTGCTGACACATTGTCCTCTCGCCCATCAGCCAACATATACACTCTCATCGGTTCAGTCATGATCTCCTCACCAGACAACAAACTCGGAGCGTGAATCTTGGCCTTCTGCACTGGCGGGATGCGCTTCGACTCCCGATAAACTGCCTCCAGCATTTCAATGTGCATGTGAACCACTCCTGGCACCATGGCGTGAAGATTCCTCAGATGATCCGCCGTCACTCCACCCTCTGTGCACACACGATCAATGAATCTGCACACCATCTTAGCCACAGCACTGCCACACTCTCCAGTGTCGCTCTCCTCGAAGCCCTCATCGCTATGCTCACTGTGACTGTGTGACTCCACAACACTATTGGACACACTTGTGTCATCCTCCACACCATGCACATCCAGCTTCTGCACCTTCCCACCCACATTCACATCAGGCGGAATGAGTAGCGACACCATTCTGTTGGCATAGTGAATCGCCTGACTGTACAGTGTTGACTCCTCGGATTTTATCAGCTCTCCCTGCTTCAGTGACTCATAACTCGGCCAGATGCGCATCTGTTCAGCAGCAATCTCCAGCGCTGATGGCTCTTGGATGCGAGATAAGCGATATTCTGGACTACTGCTAGGACTCTTCTTTCCATTCTCAGTCTTCCACGTGGCGTAGGAATTCTCACTGGCTGACGGCGATCTGGTGAGATACAGAGCTTTGATCTGTGTCTGCACATCTTGATAGAAGGCAGCCTCCCAAAACTGCTGATTCTTCCACACAGGATGATCCTGGATGCATGTGTAGGAGAACTGAATGACTCCCGTGCAGAGTTTCCGACAGAACACCGTTGACAGTGGCAGGAGAGCCGCTGCCACACCATGCTCATCCATTACAGTGTCATCCTGAAGGGCTCTGTTCATCAGCTTCACCACCAAATCAAATTGCTGATGCTCCAGCATCGCCTTGTTGCCCTGCACGGTCTTGGCCAGCTCTCGGCACAGTGTCAACCGGGCATCTCTCTGCTTCAGTGTTCTCAGAACAGCCGGAAAGCTCTTTCTTGCCTCGGCAATCTTGTTCTCAAAGATACAGTTGACGCAAGACTTGAGAACTTCCAGCCTTCGGGCGGTGTTGTTCACCACTGGTCTCCCATCGGAGATGCTCTGCAAGTGCGGCCCCATCGGGACAATCCGCGGAGACATTCGCGGTGTATGAAAGCGCGATTGCAGATCATTTTTCGCCATGCCTTCCTGAATGATGGTCGTGACCTGCTGCGAATTGATTTGTGGCATTGGGGGCTGATGTATCCGGGCGAAGGCCCCCTCTGGCGGCTTCAGCACCTTCTGCGTGTACGTCTGCGGGTTGGGATTCTCATTCGTGTACAGCACTTGCGCCAGCTCCTGGATATTCGTCAAAACGTGCGAGGCATTCTGCAGTTCGGATCTCTGCAGGTCGCTCATTGAGCTGTACAGTTCATCCCACGCGTCACACGGTCGCCACGGGGGTCCTCTCTCGTACACGAACCCCGTAAAGAACATGCTGTCCAGCACACGCGAGAGAAAGTCACACTCAATGAGGTCTCGCGCCCCGAGGAAGCCCGCCTTGTGGAATGTGATCACTGGCCTCGGGTGGATGCGGATGATGGTGAGACAGGAGCGGTAGCCTTGCAGGAGTTGGGCGAACATACGCATGAAGACAGCGCGAATCTCCTTGTCTCGCATCTGTCGATTCACCTTCACATCGCGGCAGTGGAGCTCCCCGTTCACTGTGGCCGGGTGGGCGCTGAAGGCCAGATCGGCCGTTTGCAGTTCCGGCTGGAGGACGAGCGTGAGCGCCTGCTGGGTGGTCTCCCACAGTTGGTTCGGCAACTTCGACACGGGCGGCACGAGAGATTCGGGTATGTGAATGGAACCACCATCGATGTCGGCAATAATAACATCAAGCTATAAATAGACCATTAAAACATTGTTACTCCACTGCGCGACTCTCTCCATGTCGATACACTCAAGATCACTTACCAAATCTGTGATCTCACTCTGCAATGAACTATGAACTCCCATTATAAACGGCGTTGGCGTTGATAACACTTCGATAAGAGATGCGGGCAGAATTGGAATGTAAACGTGACTGTATCTGAAAGGCCAATATACATCCAATTAATAATTGTGCTCATCTGCGCACTAGACAGCGTTGAGATGGTGGAATCCTCACCGGAATGGATACATGAGAGCCGTGAGTGCACGACAGCTGTCCGTCAGCCGCGAGTAGCTCTTGGAGTGGAATAGGATCTTGTGTTCCGTCATCATGGCGCAGAACAGCAGAAGCACATTCTTAATACCCAACTGTGTAAACAGGAAGTCCACCGAAGTGCCCGTGACTGGGAGGGTGGTGTACAGAGGCGGCTGCAGAGCTTGCTTGTCCCCCGCCCCGATCGAGAAGCGCACTTGCGGCCCACCCGGAGGAGGCACCTGGATGCAGCCGAGAATATTCCCAATCAGGGTCTCAAGAGGGAAGCCCAAACTCTCGATGTACACCGTGTAGATCGTTCCCAGGCAATTCTGCAAAGACATTTCAGAACGGAGGACCCTAAGATTGTGGATTTCTTCTGGCAAAGCGACCGTCTTACCCTGAAAGTCTCCGTGTAGTCCAGGCGCGATACCAGGACCAGACACTTCGGTGCGTACATAATACTATGATGAGTGACTGTTGTCACAGCCGGAATGAGGGCTCTCCCGGGTGTCAATGTCTCCTCCTCCTCGTCGATTGGCTTGTTTGGCGTGATCGAGATTGTCTCGTTGAAACAGAGGCAAGCACAGTAGTGGCGATTGGCGTCGATATCCGTGAGCACGGACACGAAGAATCGGGGCTCTTGGCGCTCCGTGGAAAGGGCCCATCCCAGCGGCTGGCAAAACTGCAAAAGACACACACTCACACTCTCCTCCGCAGAGCTGCGTCCTGACTCTCCACTTACCCACTCAATTCCCTCGATGAAGGGGGTGTCGTGCCAGTCACTTTCCGGGAATCTCTGCAGAATCTTTCCACTTCGCGTGCCACTTCCTGCAAGACAACGCAATTACCATAGCCATTGTGACGGCCTTTTCAAGCACACACTCACTCTCTTTCTCGTGGTCGTAGCCCACAATCACAAAGTAGTCCGCCAGACGGGACATGATTCCGGGGATTCCTCACAAATTGTTTACAACACTCATTTTCCTCGACCCACTAAAACTACCTCTTCCGTGGCCTGTAGAGCGGCACTCCGGTCACTTTGGGAGTCAGCCACTTGACTTTCAGGGGGAGAATTAACTACTGAGGGAGAAAACTACGGAGAGAGGCCACAAAGGGCTGCTGCTGTCCAGAGAAACTGACAGGTCCCACCCACAGCGGCCAGAGGAAATCAATCCCACTACCAATTCACTCTTCTGTTGAGTGTCCGTGGACAATTTCGAAAAGATTACCGCAAATTACCTCAAGAATGCGAATATTTAGCAATTTTTCACTCGCGCACAGGCAAATTAAGGCCAAAACTAATTGAGGGTTCGGAAAAAAGCGGCGAAATCGACGAAGATCACCAAAAGATTTGTGTAAAAGCAGATTCCTTATCGGAAATTTCCTCCGCCGAAGCGGATTTGTCCAAACTGCAGGAATTTCCCTGCAATCTGCAGGGTTTGCCGGCAAATTTCCCCGTCAGATTTATGAGTTGTCAAAATTTCCTGCCGCCATCTTTCTTTTGCCTTTCGCACAACGTGGTTTGCCTCTCGTGCCGAAAGAAAATATAGTTTTTAGGTGAAATGGGACGTTACGCTCGCGAACCAGACAACGCAACCAAGTCTTGCAAGTCCCGTGGGTCACACCTGCGTGTGCACTTCAAGGTGAGTGCACGGAAATAGTGTGAAAATCCAAAACAAATACCTGACGGCTGAGTGTTTCAGAATACCCACGAAGCGGCCAATGCGATCAAGCATATGCCTCTGAGGCGCGCTCAGCGCTTCCTGAAGAACGTGATGGACAAGAAGGAGTGCGTGCCTTTCAGGCGTTTCAACGGGGGCGTGGGCCGCTGCGCTCAGGCCAAGCAGTGGAAGACAACGCAGGGACGCTGGCCCAAGAAGTCCGCCGAGTTCCTGCTTCAGCTGCTGCGCAACGCTGAGTCGAATGCCGACTACAAGGGATTGGACGTGGACAGGCTGGTGATTGACCACATCCAGGTGAACCGTGCTCCCTGCCTCAGGCGTCGCACGTACAGAGCCCACGGTCGCATCAACCCCTACATGTCCTCTCCGTGCCACATCGAGGTGATCCTCACGGAGAAGGAGGAGGTTGTGGCCAAGGCGACAGACGAGGAGCCGACGAAGAAGAAGCTGTCCAAGAAGAAGCTCCAGCGGCAGAAGGAGAAGATGATGAGGAGTGAATAGGACTCCCAATGAAGATTTGGGACTCAATAAAACACATTCACTTACAATCTGCATGCCATGCCTTCTTTACTGTACAATTGTGGGAGTTAACTTTGACTTCTCCTCCGCTTGTGATGCTTATGTTTGCTCCTTTTGTGCTTGTGATGCTTCCGAGAGTCCTCGTTCTGGTGCAAGAAACTCTTCCAGGCGTCCGTTTGTGTGTTGATTAGTTTCCGAATGGTTTCAGAGTATGACAATGGAGGCTCCTTTGTAGTTCTGTGCTTCATCCGACGCCTCTTCAACTGCCTCTCCATGTCCACGACGTCGGCAAAAGTCATGGATTTGCTGGAGGATTCCTCTGGCATCTTCAGAGGGTAGGATTTTTCCTGTTCCGGCGGATTCTTCAGCTTCTCCGCTGCATATTCATACAGAACCAGTTTTTCCTCTCTGCTGAAGTCAAAGAGAATGTCTTCATTGCTTTCTGGCAGCTTGCGAGTATTCAGATCCTGTACAGGAAGCATAAGAAGCATTTCCGGATTGGCCTTCTTTGCATCTTCAATGATTTTGGCCTGGAGTTCCTTGTCTGCAAAGGAATATTTCATTAATAATAATAATACTATCACAGGATCTAATAACAACTTACCTATAGACAGAGACGGGATTCTTCCCTTATAGAATTCCTGGTAATCCTCAGAAAATTGGACATCCGCCTTTTTTGGTTTCTGTTTACATTTCTCTTGTTTCTCATACTGTAAGTAATGTAAACAATCACATTGAAGTTTACTGATTTATAGACAAACTAAAAGGACACTTACATTCTTCAATACTGTTTCTCGGTCCCAGTTTAATTTCTCGAGGATTCCATCGATTTTCTGATTGATATCATCAGTAAAATCGTCAAATTCCTTCAAAATTCTTAATCGCTCTTCCCTGTTTATTGCATTTGTCGCCATGTTGGCGCCACCAAGCGACTGGGAATCAAAACACTTCCATTTCGACTCTTCGACAGCGCGGAAAAAAGTTTCCGGAGCACGCATCTGGCAACACACAGGGAGATTTCATCACTTTGCGAGCTCATTGTCTGGGGTGAAAGTGCGACAAAAAACTGGGAAAATCAGTGTGAAAAACGCTAAGAACTGTTGAAAATCCATGCGAAAGTGTTTAGTGTGTCTGAAGTAAGTAAGTCAGCCCGAAAATCGCTGGTTGAACACATTAAATTGCCTTTCTTTTTCCAACACAACCAACTGCGAAATACGCAATAATGGAGCGTCGCCGTGGAGGCAGTTTTGCAAAAAGTGACGATAGTCTGGACAATACGTCCGAGAATGAGAGCAATTATGACTCCCAGCAGGATACGGAGTCCAACGATGATGAGGAGTACACGCCAAGTGTGCGGACGAGGCGAACGTGTGCCAAACGTTTGGCCTCGTCGTCGGAGAAAGAAAATGGCGTCCGGATGTGTCGAGAGTCTCCGGGAAGAGCGGGCAAAGTGGGTGGGAAGATAAATCGCATGCCAACCAGGCGACCGGACCCAAATGTATTCAACAGAAACGCGCTGATGGCGCGAGAGAACAGGCGGAAGAAGAAGGAGCTGATGGAGCAGCTGGAGAGAGAGGTTTTCGAGCTGCGCGAGAAGTCGAAGAAGCTGCACAAGAGCCTCTTCAAGCAGAGCGCCACCATCAAGAGCCTGAAGCAGGAGAACAAGTATTTGCAGAGTGTGATTGGGAATCAGACGGAGATTGTGAAGCTGCTGAAGACACTGAACACTGGTCGTACGCAGATTTCCTCGTCGCTGGGCCGACAGACGCCGCAGAGGGGCTTTCCATCACCGGACAGCAGCACATTCATCGTGGAGCCCGACGACGGTACGACGCCGCACGGAGATCCATTCCTCTGGGAGTCCCTTATTACACGTGATCCCTTTATGTTCACAGATAGCGGGGACGATTGCCTCCAAACGCAACTGTCGCCGTGTATCAAGACGGAGGAGTGGGATGAGATGTATCCACTCTGTTTCGACCAGATTCCCGACCTCCAGCCCACCGACAGTGAGCCAACACACAGAGTCAGTATCAATTCTGAACATAATTACGTCAATCACCATCCTGATCACGAAAATGCTGGTGTAGACATAGGGAAGGCCGGCGTGTGTCTCCACGTGGCCAGCGGAAAGGTCTCTCTGGAGTTCTGCGCATCCTGCCACATGAAGGCCGCCAATTCGTGGTTCGAGGACTAAAAGCATCACAGGCCAGCGTCTTTTGTGAAGATGAAAAATGTCTGTATCATTTCTACCTAACATACTTTATGCTAGAGCCCTTTGAGATTTGTGGGGAATTCTTATTGCTATTGAAGAAGACAACACCAATTAACAAGTAGATATACTTAGGGGGAGAGATGAAATTAGATTAACCATGATTTTGTACAACTTTCTGTTATCGATTGAATTCTTTCCTTTCCAATATTGGAGATATTTGAGAGAGTGAGAAAAGAACGTGAAGAATGTGAATTTAAGGGGAGTCCAATAGAATTTAATACGCTAGTTTCTTTATCAGTTGACAAGATAACAACAAACATGTGTGACTTCCAAAGGCCCTCTCACTACTGTATTGTGTGTCTCCGTTGCAGGACATCACATTGGATTGCTGCACAAAGGCAGAAGCCCACAAAAGAGGCATTTAGATCGCGATTTATCGCTGAGGTGGGACAATGTGAAAACAAATGAGCGATTCTCAGCACTTTTCGCACTGTGTGTCACGCAATGAAGCGTTGAAAAAAGTGTGTGACACACAAGTGTGTGAAAAGACGCTGAGAGCCTAGAAGAAGACATGGCAAAAACTGCTAATGTGCATTTATGATTCCAGCAAAAAGACCAGCCAAGTTGGGGGCGAGAAGGTATCTCAGCTTCGGAAGTTGTGTGTGTGTAACTCTGTGGCGCTGTATCGTTCCGAGTTGTGACTTGTTTTGGGGGGTTGTTTGAGCATTTTATTCTCATCTTTCTCACAAGTTCTTTCAGACAGCAAAGAATCTCTCTCGAGGATGTCTCGGCGTGAGAGGCGTCGCCCTTTGGAAGTCACAATAAAAATGGTAGGTGTTTGTATTTTCCAATTTAAATTCTATTGCCCAAAAAGGACTCCGAATATGAATTTTAAACCTTAGTGATGGAAAGAAGAATCGAATTTGAGAACGTTAGGATGAAGAGTATTTTGTTGTGAAAGTGAAAACGAGAGTATAAACATTCGCACTAGTGTTTTTTTTTCTTTTGTATGCCAACAATTATATAAATAAATTATTCTCCTCGACATGCAAATGAAAAGCTGTGTTTCCTTCTCTGTTGTATATATATATGGTTTATTTTCCTACAAATATTGTATTTACATAAAACATTTTCAAATAAAGGAGAAAACGTACACATTGAGGATTGATAAGGATTTGATGTGTGTCTGAAATGATCCTGAATCAAGTGAATTAAGGAAAGTCCTAACCATTTCTAAGGTAAGTTATGAATTACAATTCATGTGCTTTCGCTTTTCCTAATGTGGAAAAAATGATAATGTCGAATAAAGTACGGAAAACTTAACTAAACTCGAGACGAAACTCTTGATATGTTACTTGGAAGAAGAATGAATTGAATGTGGATAAAACTACGTAAAATGTATAATTTCCATCTAGCACCATTCGGATCTCCCTTCGCTCAGCTCAAACTACACTTAAGTTCAACGTTAGATTTGAGGGGAGGGACTGACAATCTCGGGATTTCGGGGGAAACATCTACTATTTTTCACACAATTCGTCTATTGGCGGGAGACTCTACAGTCTGTTAATATCCATCAAAACCATGGAATTGTACATTGTTAGTAAGATTTTGTGAATCTGGATTTTCTATTATTTCTTTTTTCTTTTAGTTCTATTGCGTGGCAGTGAATTTATATTTTCATTTTGTCTTTCTAAATAAAATATAAAGATCAGTGTTTAACCACATTTATCTCTTCTTCTCTGCATAATTTCTTTAATTTCTATTTACAATACACATTAGGTATAGTTTTTTTTTATAATTCTTTCTTTTTGTCTCTTGGGTATATTGTTGCTTTTTCCACACACACACTCTCTCTCTCTTTCTCTCTTTTGGCACATGACAAAAATCTCGGAGAAATAAAAATAGAGTCAATATCTTAACATGTTTTCCAAAAATATGTTCTGCATTGGTTGTATTGTAGAGATACAATGATAAACCTCAAAACTCTTAAAATATTTCTTAAATTAAAGTATTATGTATATATTTTATATCCTTGTTAATTCGTTAATCATTTTAATTACTCTCCATTCATTTTCGTCATCTCTACTAAACTCCCACATCGCATTTCTGAGAGTTGATTTCGGGGTCAATTTCATGACGGAAAAAAACATACGCGAAATCTTACGTGTATTAAAAAAAAAACTCCTGCAACTTTTCTGCTTAAGTAGAGTCTTACAATCTACCAACATTCACTTTGTGGGGTTAAAATATTATTATCCGTAATTACTTTCTCGTCTCTATCTAGCTCTTATCATCTCCTCATCTCTCATGTGCTCTCTTCTAAATTCAACAATCTCCCTCATCACTTGCACAGACGGAGGATGAAGAAAATGTGAGTATTTGCCATCCCTCCATCCACTCACATCACACCATTCCGGGCTTCTCGGGCGCCGAAGGAGTCTCTGCGGCAAGATTTAGTCCCTCTCTAGTCTTTTCATACATTGTCCGCTGGATCGGTGTTGCTCTCGATGAGCAATTGAGTCGTTTGGTATCTCGTATGCTGAGACACGCGCTCCATCACGCACGAAGACGACAATCTTGCCTCGGCATCGTGATCCCAGCACTCCTCCATCGTATCGCTCATTGCACTCAGTCCCTGAAAGCCACAAAAAAAATCCGCGTTAGAACCTCAAACCAAAGGTCTCAACTCGTCACATCCTTACGGGATGAGTTCTCCACTGATTGGAAATCCGTGGTCTCAGCTTCTTCATGACAACATTGTCTTGCATTTCATCCAGCGTCGGATGCGATCCAAGCTGAAAGGCAGAAAAGGGTTAATCTCTGAAGCCACATGCGCACAGATTCACTGAGATCTCACCTCAGTCTCAAAGGGCAGCGTGTATTCTGGCACTGGCCCACCGTGTGCTGAGCATCTGGACACCAGCTCCCACAGCACCAGCCCGCAAGCATACACATCGATGCGGAGGAAGGCGTCGCGCGTGAAGTTGATCGCTCCCTCCAGCACTTCAGGGGCCATGTATCGTCGCGTCCCCACTTGACCGTGTGTATCACCACATGGTTTTCCTGCGGACACAAAAACAAGGGATTTAATAAAGAATGCCCAGTTTATCTCCCACTCTTTGCGTTCGTAAAACGATGAAAGCGCGACAGCAGAAAGCGTGTGAAGCAGAATAAGAGTTTACATAACGCCACTATCATGGGTTGTAATCATATTGACGTCATTAAATTCAAGAAATAGACAGATTACTGGCTCATTTTCATGAGATTTGGCCTTATGCGAGTGACAGAGAGTTGATAGAAGACCCTAATAGCGTGCCCTCCAGCAGATTAGCAAGGACTTAGCGAGACAAGCTGTTGCAACACTCCAGGTCACGTGCAATGTGGATGATCTCGTGATTAAGAGTCTCTAATATATGTCTCTCACCTGGTTGGAAGATGAGTGCCAGGCCAAAGTCTGCAATGCAAGCCGTCAAGTCCTGCTTCAGCAAGACATTCTTGCTCTTGAAGTCCCGATGAGCAATGGCCGGCTTCAGCTGTTCGCCCTTCGTGGCGGGAATCTCTTCGTGTAAATGCATCAATCCGCGAGCCATGCTCTCGGCAATCTTGCACAATTCCGCCCATGTCACTGTGTACGCCTTCAAATAGTCGCACAGCGAACCGCGATTGTGATAGACTGTGATGAGCCAGAAAGACGATAGAGAGTTCTCGATGTGCTTCTCAACGCCAATAAATTCCAGAATGTTGGGATGTCGCATCCGAGGAAGCTGGAGAAACGGAGGAAAAGTCGTAGAAAGAGAAGATGGAAAGGGGTTTTTTAGCGTACCTTGAAGATCTCCTGCTCTGTTTGCCAGGATTGCTTGTCTTGCTGCGGGAATATCTTCACTGCCACCTCGTCGGGCTTCATCTGTGCTCGCCATACGGCCCCGAAACGCCCACGAGCCTTTATCTCGATCAGTTGGATGGGACGCAGGGCGAGGCATGGCGATGAGCTGGTCACTTCAGGCTCAATTGTGGGCACTTCATTGAAGTGCGCCTGCTTAGTGCGCTTCCTGAGATAGTAATAGCCCAGACTCGCCAGTCCTGTGATGACCAGAAATGCCACCAGGAGAGTGCAAATGATGTAGACATTGTCCGTCTCTTCCTGATGCTGAGGATCTGCTGCAAGAGGTACAAAGGGAATTCATTAGGGATGAGAATTACCAAGTCAGCTGGTGGACTCCTTACAGTCTTCGTGATCGGTGGGCTTCGTGGCCTGCGGAAGCCACTTCTGCTCGTGATTGCAGAAGTCTCCCTGACAGCAGCAGAAGTTCATGTTGTTCTTGGGCTCGTACGAGTAGTCGATGCACTCTGTCTGGTTGCAGGCGGCATTTTGGGTGAAGCAGCCCTTCATCTGCACAGTGACGTTGAGTTTGCCGGTGGTCTCGTTCAGTACCTGCTGCCAGACAACATAGCAGTGGTTCTGCTTGTCTGCGTCCACCTCCTCGCAGACTTTCTTTGTTGTCTCGCAATCTCCATGCTCCCGGCAAATGTGTATATCATAGAGCTCGCACTCCAGCTGCTTGCTCACCACCACGGAGCCCGATATGCAACAGATGAATCCTACAAAGAGCCACAACTGCAATTCTTGCCCACTCCCAAACACTCTTCCTGATTTACCCAGAATTATTGCGATGGAAGAGCAGAGCTGCAGGCTCTGCATTTTGCCCTCGCGCCTCTCGCGGGCCATTCTGGCCGAGTGTCTCTCACAGTGGGAAGATCAACAACTATCACGAAGGGTGAAGTGATTATCGCAAGCAAATAAACGAGAATTATCGCTATTTCTTTGAGCCATTGAAGATTGTCTCTTGCACACACACACACTTTCAGACAAACACCCCTCTCACTCTCCACCCACTCACTTTGGCACTGATTTTACTACACGGAAAGACAGTGTGGCGTATCTGCTATTCAACTAATTCACTCCGAAAGCCCAGAAAGGTGGATAGTTTATATAATTTGATAAAATACAATTCAGTTCTCTGGCTCCGCAATGAAAATCGCCATTTTGGTTGTCAATGAGCGTCATCGACTGGAGTTGCCCGATGACCTCCGGACATCTGATCGACAATTCTGACATCGAAGGTCGATTTTCGCCAGATTTAAAAATCCAAGGACGTCAACAGCCATTCTTTTCGCAGGAATAAAAAAAACTGCCAAGTAAAATTAATTGATAGAAAAACGAAATGTATTTTTACAATTTATACATAAAGAATATTTCTCGTGTCACCTGCGACGCAAGGTCTCTGTCAAAATACCCACTGTCGTGCACTAAAGTCTGCTTTGGGGAACATATCAAAATGTTGGACCATTCAGTTTTCTCAATTTCTTTGTGGAGTTTCTGCTGCTAGATATGATTATCCGGAGACTATCTTATGTATTGCCTGAGGACTTGAAGATTCCTGCAATTCTCTGTGTCAGAGGCTCAGTTGGGGACTCAGAGTCGCTGCAGGAAATCCCATTCCCATTGCAAATGTCCTGGGAGTCTTTCTTAGTGAACGATTGCATCATGTCATCATCATCCTCGAGCAGGAGACTCGAGTAGGAGTGCGTTGTACTGTCGCTGTAGCTGTTTCCACTGCGAATATTTCCAATATCGTCATCTCTCTCATCGCCGTCCTCATTGGAGTCATTGCTGGACGGAAAGTCAGCCTCTCCTGAGCTACTGGCCTCAGTGGCATCGCTGAAATTGCTGTCGCTCTTGCTGAGAGCCACCTCAAAGTCCTCCACATTGGAGTTCTCGTCGGTCTCACTCTCCTGCTGCTCAGCCAGATCTGTAAAGTGAAAAGAAAAGATCAGGGAATTTCCCTCCACCTGAAATCCTCTGGAACATAATTGAGAAGTCTCTTTGCTTTTGTGAATTTTATTAATTGATCCCTTTTTTACAATTTTAGAATATCATCAACTTCCATTTGCGATCGTTTCCGCTTCCCATTTCTAATCCTGGACTCTGTAGCATCTCTCGTGAGCCAATTGTGATAGGCTGAGAATGTTTCACATCCGCTACTGTACAATTTCTCCTCTGAACAATCAAAATGACTGTCTCTTTTGCTCTTCACGTCCGCACAGTTGCACATGTCGATGATGTGCGTGAGTCTCTGTCGCAGAGTGTTCAGCAGCATGTTCTCGATCGTGTTGTGATCATCGAACTTGGACACGTGGAGGCCGAACTCGTAGAAATACTTGCAGAGCTTCCCTAAATCCACAGAATTCGCCCCAGCTTCGCAAATTGACTTGTTCAAGGATCTGTACAATTCAGGCACGTTGATCTTCACGTAGTAGTTGTGAAGATCATCAGCATCGTTCAGCATCCAGAAAGCCAACTCTTGCTCGCCTTCCGATTGTTCTAGCGTCACAGAACTGTCCGTAGTGGTTTGCGCACCAGATCCCGAAAGGGACACGTCAAAGGGAGCCAAACTGAGATCGCCTGAAAGATAATTTCTGGGTATATTGAATGAATTCACACGCGGAAAGAGACGCTCTTTGTTTACCATTTTCACTCGTCAATGTTACGTGAGTTCTTCGCTCCAGATTTGTGAGAACCTGGGTTTTTTGATAAGGCACCTTCTCCTCTGTGGCCATTATGTCAATTAAACTATAGTAATTAGGCACATAACTCCTATTTTTCGCGTAAATATTCATTTTTGTTCACACCATAAATCAAAACACAAATGACAACCACTTTTTGTGCGGCTTTCGACATTCTTCCCCTCTTCCGGAAAGAATTTTAATGATTTCGAAAAGGGAATTGCACTCAGAAAAATCAGCATGGAAATGATTTCAAAATAATATTAACGGTTTCAAAATTTTGATCACAGCAGGAAATAACATAAAAAAAATTAGAAAAGCAAAAACGTAATCGATATTAACTTCTGCTTATTCTATTGAAATTCAATGAATCTAAAAGAATTTAGAAATTCTTGCTATTGCATGGTTTTTAATGATTCAGAGCTTTTCGACAACAGTTCACATAAAACTCTAAAGCTCTATAATTTCTGTGCATTTGGATGAAATGGTTAATCGTTTATCAATGGAATATACTCTGAAATGCAGTAATCGGAAACCTATTTTAGTCATCGATGACTTTTTAAAAGGACTCCCAGAAAACCTTGCTTTATTATTCAAACGCACGACAAAAGTACATTATATACCCGAATAGGTCAATTTTATTCGGAGTGTGTCACATATATTATACTTACAGCTTATCTTCTCCAAAATCAGTGGGTAGAATTCCTTCGCTGTTATGTTATTGGGCTCAAACTCGAGAACTAAAGAGAGAAAAACCTTCATGACCAGAGAGAATTTCCCAAATATTGCAGAAATATGGTAAAATCTTACTGAGTTTGCAATATTTCAGTGCCCTTCTGTAGTCATGTGTCATGACGGCGGAGAGAAATTCTGCGAAATACTCTGTTGGGGCGGAGATGCTCTCATCAGCATCCGTATACTCTGATAAATCCTCAGTGGATATTGACGGAGCCAGCGAGGAGGGTTTCAGGGACAATGTGTTGCCATTCGGCTCGTCCAGAATTGTAATCTGTGCGAAAAATTGAGAAGAAAAACAATCCAAACAAAGGATTTTTTAAGGTAAACCAACTCTATTGCGTGTGAATTTTATTATAGACTTACATGCGACATTACGATGGCTTTAATGTGGATCCCTTCTGTGAGAGTGTGTGGGTGGGTTTCTTTGGGAAATCAATATTCAAGGGTAGGTACCAGAAAGAGTGAGTAAAATTTCATGAATCTCTTCTCGAGATACCTTTGCACAATTGAATTTTGGAGGATGGGGTGATGAATAAATGGAGGGATGTTAAAAGAAATCACCACTGTGATTACAAAAACTTTACACTTTATGCAAATGTGCGGCAATTAGGACGAAAATGGCACTTTTTCACAAGTTTTCAAGTCTTTCACGAGGCACACGTTTAGCGCAAATGACGACTTCCGTGAAATTAAGTGTTTGAGCAGCACATCAAGCGACGGAAAGCTATTATCCCCACCAGGAGACCCTTGAAAACATTAGGCGTATGTCGCAACACTATTTGTTGTTTTGGTTACTGAAAATCTATGGAAATTTGTTGAATATTTACGTATATATATCCCGTGAGGGGTGGCGGCAAGCATGCGCCCTCTGTGAAGAGCCAACCGAGGATTTGTGTCTCCGCTCGGTGAATTTTGTCCGTTTCGGCGATCCGGGGAATCTTTTTTCAGAAACTGAGAAAAACCTGTGTTTCTCAAGGTTTTTCTGCTAAAATGAGATATTCTGGAGTCAAGATCTCATGATATGTTCCTTCATGAGATGAATCCTACGCACACACCGTTGTTCCAGCGCGGGACGGTTCAAAGCGCGGTCTGGTTTCGGTATTCGAATTTCCGGAATGAAGGTCGATGTGGCCGACAGTCGATCAGTGCGCTGAAGAGGAAGAGGGGCAGACTTAGCTGAATCAGACGACAAAAGTCTTAAGTTTTTCGTGGATTAAAAAGTCTTTGGGGGTCGTCAGAGCTAAGCAAGCAAAATGAGTGATTTGCTGATTGTGCCACTGAAGAAGCCATCGGAAGTGGATGTGGTGAAACCGCTGAAGAACCTTATCCAGAGCTCGTACGGCAGCAGCGACAAGGTCCCCAATTATGGGGAGGCTGTAAATGAATTTAGCAAATTGCGAAACTCTGCGATATGGAAGTTCTTCGAGAAGTACGAGAGCTCCCTGGACATTGTGTACAAGTGAGTAGTTTGCCCTTCTTTCTGGTCAATTGCCTGCGTGAGAGATTGGGAGATTCCGACGCATGACTCACACCCTACCTCTCGGAATGCTGACCGTGTGAACGCAGTGAAATACAGAGATTCGCTAGCAAAATTCGTCTGATGCGTCATTGTTTGACTCTTCCGTTAGTTACTACGATCAGCTAAGCGGCCTTGAGGCAAAGGTTCCGGTGCAGGAGCTGCAGATCCCTTTCAAATGGAAGGATGCCTTCTCCAAAGGCTCCCTGTTCGGGGGCCGCGCCAGTCTAAGTGGGTTCTTTGCCTAAGCCTTATCTCTCAACTGGTTTTACAGCCGTGATTTTTTGTCTTTATTGCAGCACTATCATCACTGGCGTATGAGAAAGTGTGCGTCTTATTCAACATCGCTGGCCTGGAGAGCGCCGTGGCAGCAGCTCAGAGCTTGGACAGCGACGAAGGACTCCGTCTGGCCACCAGGCTCTTCCAGCACAGCGCTGGAATTTTCACTCACCTCAAGGCCGCCGTGCCAGCAGCTATTCCGCAGGAACCCACACCGGATCTGTACCCGGAAGTGCTCACCATTCTGTCCAATTTGATGGTGGCGCAGGCTCAGGAGATCTTCGTGGTGAAGGCCATTCGGGACAAGATGAAGGAGCAGGTGATTGCGAAGCTGTGCTGCCAGTGTGAGGAGTTCTACGCCGAGTGCCTGCGTGGACTGCAGAAGGAGTCGGTGAAGAATCTGTGGGAGAAGGAGTGGGTGACAACGGTGGCTGGCAAGCAGGCGGGCTTTCACGCCATGACCCAGCTCTACTCCAGTCTCGCGTGTCGCGCCAGCAAGAAGGTCGGTGAGGAGATCGCCCGCCTTCAACACGCCGTGGAGCTCTTCAAGGCCGCCCAGTCGCGTTCCGGGAAATCTACAATGTTCCAGGAGTACGCCGATCGGGCGCAGCGCAATCTCGTGGAGTCGAAGAAGGACAATGACTTCATCTACAATGAAATCATTCCGGATGTGAAGACGCTCGAGGGCCCGGGAAAGGCGCAACTGGCCAAGGTGACAGCTCTGGCGGCGCCAATGGGTCAGAACTACAAGGATCTCTTCGTGGATCTCGTACCGGTGGCCCTCCACCAGGCTCTGTCTGCTTGCGAGGCGCGCAAGACGGAGATGGTGAATGCGGAGATTCAGAAGTTGCGCGAGGGTACGCAGATGCTCAACAGTGTCCTGGCCAGTCTCAATCTGCCGGCGGCCATTGAGAACACAGCCGGCGGATCGGGATTGCCGCCGTCGCTGCAGGATAAGGCAAAGGCTGTGCGCGACAACGGGGGCATTTCGCAGATCACGGGGATGTTCAAGGAGTTGCCTGAGGCTCTGACGCGCAACAAGGAGATCCTGGACGAGTGCGATCGTCTGCTGAACGACGAACGTGATTCGGATAATGCGCTCAAGAATCAATTCAAGGAGAGGTGGACCAGAACTCCGTCCGACAAGCTAACTGAGGTCTTCAGAACAAATATCGCCAAGTATCGAGACATTATCAACAAGGCAGTTCAGGCTGATGGTGTAGTGCGTGGGAAATTCGACACTCATGTGAACGTGAGTCACAGCGCTTGAGATTTGATTAATGTTTTCAATTGATAATGTGTGGTTGATGTTTTTGCAGGGCATTGAGATACTATCAAAATCCCCGGCTGAGTTGGAGAGATCTGTACCGAGCAGCGGCTCTGCTGGGGTGTCCGATAGTCCCAGTGTGCAGAAGCTTCGCTCCCTGATGGAGAGCGTGGAGACAATCAAGGCGGAAAGAGATGCCATTGAGGCTGAACTCAAGTCGGCCACTGTGAATATGAAGGAGCAATTCTTGTCGGCTCTGGCCAAGGATGGCGCAATCAATGAGCCCGCAATGTCAGTGTCGGAGATTGGAAAGACCCTGGCGCCGCTCCAGGGCCAAGTGCAGGAGAGTCTGAAGCGACAGGAGGGCATTTTGGCTGAAGTCCAGTCTGCGCACACGGTCTTCACGAGTGAATCTGGCGGAGCGAGCAACTCGCGGGATGCTCTGCTCATTCAGTTGGCGGCAGCTTATGACACCTTCATGGAATTGCAGGGGAACCTGAGGGAGGGCACAAAGTTCTACAACGAACTCACGGAGCTTCTCGTGGCATTCCAGAACAAAATCTCTGATTTCTGCTTCGCGCGCAAGACAGAGAAGGAGGAGTTGATGAAGGACTTGACTCAGCAGAGCAGCCGATCTGTTGCCCCCACGCCGGTGCTTCCTGCACATCACGCCACCACGCCGGCCGCGCCAACCAGCGCTGTGGACGGCAGCATGCCCTATCCGACGGGCGGGATGGCTAACATGCCCATGCCGTACGGCGCCTCTCCGGCAGCGCCCTATCCCACGTACATGGCACCCCCGATGCCACAGAGCTACAATCCGTACGCTCCACTTCCGTATCCTCAGAGTGAGTGATCGGGTTTTTATCTCTTTCCCACGCACATACATTCCGCTTAGTTAGCAAAGTAGTTTATGCTTGCATTGTTGTTCATTTGGCTTAGATTTCACACAGGTCAGTCACTGCCGCTTTGCTTTCATCTATCAATGCCTGTGTTTACTCGACGATGTTTGTTTATGGAACGTTTTTTGCAGCGCCGTACTATCAGGGATTCCCTCAAGGCCCTCCGCCGTCTCACTATGCAACGTATCCGGGCAGTCTGGCGCATCAGCAGCAGCAGCAGCCGGGCAGCGGCTATCCTCGCCAGCCTGGGTGGTAAAGGGCAGAGCTCATTCCTCAAAGATCATGAGAGACCTTCTGGGGCGCTGGAGATGGAATCGCATGCACCACTTCTATTACATAATGTGGAATAATATTATTTTTGAAAATAGCTACTCTCTTTCACTCTCCTGGGAGGAATAGCATTGTAACGTGCCTATGAATTATAATAAAAATGTAAATTTGTTAATATGACGTGTTTTGATGTGGAAAAAGAAGGCAAAAAAGTGTGATTTGGGCTCGTCCGGGATTTGAACCCGGGACCTCTCGCACCCTAAGCGAAAATCATACCCCTAGACCAACGAGCCCCACGATTAAATGTGAATTAAATTTCAATCACTTTCTTTAAGTGGCACACTTCATGAGACCACTTATTTTGCTTATTAGACAATGGTTTGAGTTTTTTAAGTTAATCAGTAAAAAATTAATTCCTCTGACGGCATTTTGATTATCATATGAAGGTTGAAAATTTTCCAGGTGAACACGAAATTCCGTGACTTTTCCCGACGTATTGGAATTCCGAATCCACCCAGCTGACAATCTACACTTCTGGAACTTCGCATACTGCAAATATCACAGCTTCAATCATCCTACTTATCTTTGTGCTTCTCAAACAATTATAAGTTTATTGATTCTGCAAAAGACTTAAAGTCCATGCATATTTGACCATTCTTTTAATTGTACTGCGAAATTTAAACTTCTCAATTCCAATTTGAATTTCTACTCGTAGTCTTATAAGTAGGGGAATCACAATGTTGAGTTGAACACCCGGGATATTCGGAAACCTCTCCGAAATCGTTCGCCATTTTTGCAGTGAAAATTGCGTCTCTCTTGTAGTGCGTGAATCTTGCAAGTTTTCTTGGTGAAAAATGACTGGTCGCGGAAAAGGAGGCAAGGGATTGGGAAAAGGAGGCGCCAAGCGTCATCGTAAGGTGTTGCGTGACAACATCCAGGGCATCACGAAGCCCGCAATCCGTCGCTTGGCCCGCCGTGGCGGTGTGAAGCGTATCTCCGGGTTGATTTACGAGGAGACCCGTGGCGTTCTCAAGGTTTGTACGCGCCCCATGGCCCAATTTCGCAACTGTCTGCAATGATTTGGCGCTCTGTGTGTTGCAGGTGTTCCTGGAGAACGTGATTCGTGACGCCGTGACCTACACGGAACACGCCAAGCGCAAGACGGTGACCGCCATGGACGTGGTGTATGCCCTCAAGCGCCAGGGCCGCACTCTGTACGGCTTCGGCGGCTAAAGTGGGGGCGCTCCGCTCCTGAGGACAGCCCATCGCGCCGCGCGAGGCAGAATCACTTAACAATTCCATCTACTAATTTTATCGCCAATAGAGCTTTTCTGTTTTTTTGTCAAATCTCATTATACTCTCGTATTGGTTTAGATATATACATTTTATGTATTTCGTTCATATTTCTGTAGACATTTTCGTATAAATTATATCTGAATAACAAGTTTGATTTGATGTGAAGAAAACACGGCGTATTGAGACTCGATCCAGTGTCCTTTGTTCACTTTCACTCCGCCAAAGTGGGTGGTTCTGGGGCGCTCTCGCCGCTAATCTGCTGAACCGTGCGATTTCCCCGGCGATAGTGACAACAAAGGCGTGCGGATGAATGGCGAGGATCCTTTGTACACACAATGGGTGGCGGAGCAAAAAATCATGCGCATGCCCTCCGGCTCATCCCGTGTGAATTTTCCGCTCACATCCAGCGTTAGCATCTCGGGAGGAAGTTCCCTTTGAGCCCCGCACTCGAAGGGTGTTGGACGTGCTGGATAAAAATCATGCGAGAAAGTGCGTATGTCGGAGCAACACGTTAATAAGCCAGACACAATTTGCGGGCTGATTTGATGGCTTAATGATGAAAATGATGCTGCCATGGAGACAATGTCTTTCATGCACACACATCACAGACTTTGCGGAGTGTCGTGCAGAGGTTTAAAAGTTAATTCTAATCCCATCTAATTACTTCCAGCACATTCATCTTCTGCCGCACAATCACTGCTAGTGTAACTCAAGTGGAGAGATGGTGGGAATTTTATTATGAATTATGAACGAGGTACTGGAAATTTTCCCACAAGAGTTTCAAGTTGCTGAGATTATCCTTTCATTGGGCAATAATTCCATGAAATACGAGATGGATTTTTAGACTTCAGCTCGATTTTGTGGTGTGTGCTAACACCGGAGTGAGTGTGTAATCCCGGGCTTTAATCCTTTTCAAATGAACACACCTCAGCAATAGTTAAACATCAAATTATCACTCAATGCTGACAATTGTTGAAAATAGATTTAGTCATTTAACAATTTAGTCAATTTGATTGATTTGGAGCAAAACAACTTGCACGAAAAATATGGTTATCTTCAAGTTTAAAGGGTTTAGATTAGATTTTAGAGTAATGATTTTACTCCAGAGGAGGATAGAAAATCACAGAAATCACATGAAGGAATCCTTTCATACATTGAAGTGATCCCATTATCGACCCTTATTGGAAGCAATTTTCTCCTAATATCGTTGAGAACAGGTGATTTCCCATTGAATTTCCACTCTCATGATTTTCAATGCATCAGCTCATTGTTTGTGCACGTTCTTCGGTCTAATGTGATTAAAATAACGTTTGAATTATATTAATGGACTCGGGAGTACACAGTGGCTGATGATGTTGAGACTTTGAAAGCTCGCCAAATCTGGGGTGTGAGAGAATTCATGAAACTGCTGGCCTGCAGGGAGTTGCAGGCCAGCAGGACCAGAGAGGTGAAGCTGAGAAGGGTGAGAAGTGATGCGAAGGTGTAGAGCAAAATAGTCGTAGAGTCCAATTTGTCCTGCCGAATAGCAGATACTCGATTCAGAGGGTGAGCGAATTTGTGCCAGATACGCAAAAGATACATAAATGTGATAGACACTCAACGCCGAGTGAAGTGCCTCAGTAAAGTAGGTATAATGAGGAATTGGAGCATAAACATGTATTTGATGTCGCACACAACAGGATCCACAAAATCCATAATGTCCTCATTTGCGCAATGTTACTAATTACACTCGGGAAACTTGCTGTTGTTCCAATAAATTCGACAGCCTTGAGAGAAAAACGCAACACTGTGAGATTTCTGGACTTCTTGTCGAAATACAATAGATAAATGGGATTTTTGGTGGAGCAATTAATTGCATAATAGTTGTTTTTGCCGCACGTGCCGCACGGAGAATGATCGCCTTGCGGAAGGAATTCTCTCCGTGTTGGATTGCTTTGTGGAGAATTCTCACATGCCGCACACGTCAAAAATCATCGTCAATCCAATTTAGGATATTGAATTTTCTTTTCACCTGTCCTGAATATCAATATAATTTACATTCAGTGTTAAATTTGACCTAATTTGAACTTCTAATTGGGATTTGAATTGACTCTACAGATATTTTTTTCAAAAAGCTGTCCCCATTCTGTTTAGTGTTTTACGCAATTAGAAATGGATTTTGTGCAATAAGGATTAGTTCATGCATTAGTGCATAAATAATTTATAATTACATTCACGATTATACATATACACAGGTTGAGATTACACAATGAGTTCCCGATATGAATTTTACATCGCGACGGCATTTAATGTGCATTACGCATGATGCCACTCATTTTGTGTGTGTGTATGCAAAACTTTATATTCTCCCTATGCAATGTGACCCATTAATGTTAATGGGAATTATCAGCGCTCGAAAATTTACTAATTTACTTGAATAGTGCACTCAAAGCACGCAATCAGCGGGTGGAGCGGGACATCAACGGGGAATGGGGAATGTTAATTATAATTTGTGCATTTCATATCGGAGCCATTTTGGCGATGGCGAGCAGAGGAAGAAAGGTGTTTCAGTGCAGTTCTCACAATATTGGTGATTGGAAAGAAGAGGGACAATTATGCATTGTGTAATATGAAATTTCATGACATCATAGTACAAAAGATAGATTGATTTGATGCGCATATGCGCATGTAAATGAATATTTCGAAACAGGAAAACTGACAGGAAATCAAATACATTTTGATCAAATAGTTATGAAATTATTTACATATGCCATCATTGTTCTACAATCATACGAAATGATATGAATGGATCACGAAATTCTTGCATTGTGTCGTGATTAAGAGAATAGCAGAGTATCGTCAAACTGAATGCCGTGATTTATCAGAACTTGATATCTCTAACTTGCACAACATTTAGCCAAAATATGCCTCTTCGGTGAATAGCATAGCAGGGATTCATTAATGCGCTTGTCATCTTTAGCGCTCCCTCACAAATTTATTATCAAGACATGCCTAAACAGTAGATTTCTCTCACAATGATAGTGTGTGCTGAGAGTGGCCACAATGAGCATCATGATTACATGAATATTCAGCAAATTTTGTTGCATTCCTAATATACATACAACTGAAGTCCTGTGTCATGTTCCCGGTAAACAAATTTGCATATGCGCAGGTAATTCTGGGGCACACAAATGGGCCTTAATACATAATTTAATATTATTTGAAATACGTATGAGAGCAAATGACATAATTATTATTTTGTGTACATTATATTGGACAAATTTGTTCTTTCACATTTTCATGATTACAGGTATAATGCGTATAACTGTGGCACCAGGGAATTTCGCTAAAAACTTATAATTAACATTTAATTTAATTTCCTATCCCTGCTGGATTTCGGAAAATTACATATTTAATGTGAAATTGCAAATAACCAGTTTTATCGGCTGAATGTGCATTGATTGGCAAATTGATCACCTTAAAAGAGTGCAACAAGAACATGCAATTAGGAGAGAAGCCACAAATTTTCTATGTGCCGACAATTGAATGATATCCGAATTCTACTATCCTAAGTGTTAATTCTCCCTCTATATGTATGTAATTGTTTTATGTAAAGCAGACACAGAGCCGCAAATGAAGTTATACAGAAAGTTTGATTCAGTTACTGTGTTATGTGGATGCAGAAGTTCGTAACTCTATTTTAGTGGAATTACCAAGAAGAGTGGCATTGCTTGCAAGATAGGTATGTGAAAATCTGTACTACACAATATAGATAAGTCTTGATTTGTGCCTCTATTTTAGAAAACCATCAGTTGTAAAGTCTCTGGCCAGCTGAAGTTGTGGGATGTGTTTTTGGACAGATAAAATCAAGGATAAATGCGATGGTAACATTATATGAAGTGATACCTTTATTTATACATGCTCGAATGAAGGAACATGATGACATCTCAGAGTTCAGCCTGGAAAGGCCTTGCCCAGGATGGCACTACGGCCATATGAGAAGGCAGATATTATTCACATGAGGGTAATTCAATCATCAAAGGAGGGGTTGAGCTACCTAAACGTATATTTTATTTTATTTAATATATAATAATATGGGGGTGGAAATCAGCATCATTTGATTGGATCACATCCCGGTAATCCGGTCACGTCCTTTTGGCGAATAACAGGGCCACGATGGCATCCACTGAGAGATGGTGGCAAAAGGTTTGAGGATGACGATTCAATAAGCCAGAAATGCTGGTAAATTTCGTCTTTAATACAGAAGTGGCTCACAAGTTGAAAGAGTGGATGTAAGGAGCTCCGTGGCTGTCTCTTCGCGTACAGGACTAATGGTATTAAATAAATTGACATGTTTGTACGGAAGTGTGCGTCTGGGTAGTCAGTAAAAAGGGCGACTGAGTCATTTTTTATAGCGTCCTACATATAAACGTGTGTATTGGCTTAATCCCCATACATCTCGCGTTCGCCCTCAGCCCTGAGCCAATAAATTCACTTCAATTTCTCGAGAGTTGGACAATTCTGCAAAAATGTTTACAAACAAGGCGATTTCTTCTTCTAAAAATACAGCAGTGAGCCAAAAATAAGTCCTCGTTTAATCCTTCAGCTCTTGTTTTTTTTCCACTGGGACTTTTAATTGAAGTGTATTCACGACGCTTTTGTTTTATTATAACGATGCTCTTCAGTTTGAATTTCTGCTCTCTCCTTATCTCTCTCCATTGTAGGAGAGAAAAAGATTTTTCTTATTAACTAATCTGAAATGCAATCAGCAAACAATGGTAATTGTTTTGTGGCTGTGACAAGGGCTGTGACTTATGTTTTAGCATTTTTAGAAATTTGCTTATCAAGGGATTACTCGTGTCACAGAGGAACGTGTTGGAATAGTGGTGGAAATTTATGCTTTATACCATTGATGCTTAGGGAGATTTTTATTCAATTTGCAATTTAAGAGATGATTCCCATGTTCATGGCGAGCACATGAGAGTATTTCAGTTTTATGTGACCGGCGTGCAAAATCCATTATATTGCGAGAATCACACAGGGTTTTTGGAATGTAATATCTTTTGTGTTTGCGAAAATGGTGACATTTTTCCGCAGCGTGGCCCTGATTTTGTCCGGCCACCCAGTGGAAAATCCAAGAAAGTTCCGCCATACCTATAGAATGTGAGCATTCTTGGACGTATGATGATGG